GCTTCTTTAAGTTGAAGATGGAAACATACTGCAATTTTGTTCTATGATGCCAGTTGTTAACTTCTGAAGTTTTTATTAAAATATTTTTATTCTAAGAAGATTGCAGGTGATAAGAACATTGTTGTGAGGGAATGACGCGAAACACTGGGGACAAAGTTTAAAATAGTGCTGTGTTAATATTTTTATCAGAAATTAAAATTAAAATAGATTTTCTGAATTCTATATTTCAGTATTCTGAAATAAAAAACACGAATTTGTAAAAAAAAAAAATTTTATTTCAGAAATAATTTTTTTCTTTTTTTAAGTTAGCAGTGGGGACAAGTGAGGGAATGACATATTGGTATATTTTAATTACCTAAAATAAATAAAAAATAAAAATTTATAATTTTAATTTTATTCTTTTGTTAGCTTGCATTCTGAAGGACACTTTCCCTGAATTTTTCTTTTTCGTAAGCTGTAAAACAAACATAAAATATACTGGGGACATGAAAATGACTGTTTTTGTGAGAATGACCTATATATATAGATATAATGAAAAAAAATATAGAGAAAACATGAAAAATAATAAAGACAGGGGACAGAAGAAAAAAAATTATTTAAAAAATAATTAAAAATATAAAAATATATTAAAAAGCTGAAAAACGAAAGAAAAAATGAAAAGATTATATTTCCACTATTGTATTTTTTTAATAAATGTTAATTTACTAAATTCTTTAAAATAGTATAGTTAAATATCAACCTTACGAATTACAAATTTCTTTAAATTATCATTATCAAGTATAATATTATTATCTTGCGCACATCCACTTTCGGACCAATTCTGGGTAACTAACAAATCAAACGCGCTGCGGTACTGCAGTAAGAACGTGGCGTAATACAAATTCCTTCTATTTACGCTTTTAGCTCCCTTTGCACTTCTGTTTTAATCTTTAGTACTCAGGCAATCTTATTACGAAAATATTTTACGTCATTCTTGAAAATTCCGGTGCATCAAAGTTCATTTGAATTCGCTACTCGCCTTGTAGATTTCGTTTTGTATTTTGTTCTTTTTTTTCCTTACATTTTATTTTCTGTTTTTTGCGTGATATATTTTTTACTCAATGTTCCATTTTGAGTGCTCCTTACACTATTGCATTGATAGATTTTGCTTTGGCTTTATTGATACAATAATCGAAAGCACTCTTTTTTGCGGATATAATTGTGTGAACTGATGAAAATATTATATCTTTTCTTTTTTTTTTCTGGGCTTTTTAATATATATTTTTACTTTCTAAATTTTTTTTTAATATTTTATTTTAAAATTTTTCTTTCCTCTTCTCATTATCTTTATCATTTTCCATGCTTTCTTTATATTTTTAACCTAGAGTTCCATATTTCTCCCGGTGGCTGAGTGGTAGCGCTTCTCGCTCCCGTGCCACAGGTACTGGGGTCGATCCTTGGACCGGGCAAGGTTGACTCAGCCTTTCATTCCTTCAGTGTGTCGATAAATGAATACCAAGCTTGCTTGGGAACTAAACACTGGGGGTTTCACGTTCGGCTGACCACCTAACCGGAACATCTGCTCCTGCACCCCAGAGCCTAAACTCAAGAAAACTGAGATGGGCACAGTAGGCCTTGGCCCCCCATGTGCTGGCGCGCCTCTGAGTTTAGTTTAGTTTAGAGTTCTATATACTTGCTACTATATACTACTATATAATTTTAGTTTATATGACGTTTTTCTTTTTTTTTGTCTTTATTGTCACACACACGTATATTAAGAGCAGTTTTCACAGAACACCCAATACATATGTTTTGAATCAAACGGTATATTTGATTGGAGGGTGATAATTTAATGTTTAAAAGCTTTCAAATACTTGTTTCGTTTTTAATTTAGGATTATACAATGCAAATATTATACAGGGAGACCTGGTTTGATGAAAGACTGACATTTACACCGGATGAACATGTGCAAAAAATATTTGGTGACGACTGGCATGCTCAACGCATATGGACGCCCGATGTGCATGTTGTAAATGACAACCAAGTGAGCGAAACGAATGAGGGAAAAATTTTGGCGCACATTGACCCTCATGGCAGAGTTTTGCTCAGTAAAAGGTAAAAAATTTTGATTTTAACTAAACTACATAAACACATTTTAATGTCAATCGGTTATTTTGTCAAACAGATTTACATTGAATAAATAATTTTCAATTTAGGTCGTTTCCTTCGCTTTACTGACGTAGACACCTTAATAGCTACATAATAAAATATAAAATCTGGAAACGACTAAACATCCAAAAAAAAAGGGTTTTTTATTGTAATTCAAACTAACAAGAGGTAAAAATGTCATTAAAAGTTATCATTAACCAAATGTCCTCGAAAATGTGCTCCTGAATTGATGAAAAAAAATTGTTTCAATCTACATTTTAAAAATATACTGCAGTTTCATTATAATTATTATCATTTTATTACTATTTCGCTTTTAATTTTTCTTATTAGAAAATTGGTGAATAAAAATCGGTTTTCTTTCAAGAAATACTCTGAATTACACAGAAATTAGCGTTTGAAGGAAACATTTTAAAAGGCTTAATTTAGTCAGCACTTGGTGGCGTAAGTAAGAAGATAGTATTTTAGTTTCCAGAGATTAGATAGATTTTAGTAAATAAAACTGAGTCACCCATACTAAATATTTTCTAAATTCTTGAGTTATTTTACTATTTGTAGTTGCCTAACTGTATTTTAGTATCGTATAATTAATGTTATGGAACTAATGAAACAGAATGGAAATAATAAAATTGCTTCAAGCGACGTCATGCGTGGATAAATCGTGGCATGTGTTTATGCTATGATTCACCAGGCAATCGGATTTGCCACGCCACGGGATACGTCATTTGCAAGCATCCAATTAAATTTGATCTGAAACGTAATAATAATCGAAGATAATAGCTGTAATGTTACACACCATGCACAATCTCCTGATTATGTTCAACCATACGATTTCAGTGGTCTTTTTCTGGACTTGCAGGTACCCACGTAGAGTTGTTACCGTCTTGCTATAAAGCGGCAGAGTATGTAATAATTAAAAAAAAATATTTTACATGGTTCCATTCCATTAGGATACAAAAAAACTCGAATACACCGGAATAACGAATGAATGGATTTAAAAAATTTATAGTGAATCAGTAAATATTTCCTATTTTATAAACTAACTTATCTAAATAAATAGCAAAAATTTAGTGTTTCCTACGAAAATTTAGAAAATAAAATTAAACTCACCCAGTAAGATATTTTCATAGGAGAAAAAGTTTTCAAACCATGTTAAAAACAGAATATCATTTTCCCTTGCTAGAAAGCACCACTAGATGGCGCCACGAGATTTAGAACTCCCTAAGAACAACAATTATTTAGTGAGTTTGATTATGTTACTGTCGCTGGAGAGATCATGTTGTTTTTGTAGTGTTTAGTCTTATTAATATACACATGTTAACCCATTAGAAGGAGTATATTTATTGAGTTTGTGGTCACTGTTTTAGTTTATTTAGGTACGTACCGACCCGGGTAGAAGAACAAGGTAAGAATCCTTTTATTGATACCTGTTCTATTGAAGTAGATAAAGAAATAAGTTATGTTTTTTAACATGGCATCAGCTGCCAGAGACTTCTAAAGATAAGCCAGAAAGAACATCATCGGACATTCCTGATTCAGTTCCTGCTACTACCAGAGTTAGACGTGTTGTTCGCCCACCATCCAGATTTGGACAATGAAGTATTGAGATTCGGTTCAACATGCCCCGAAACTCAAAAAGGGGAGTGTTAAAAACAGAATACCATTTTCCTTTGCTAGAAAACACCACTAGATGGCGCCACGAGATTTAGAACTCCCTAAGAACAACAATTTTTTAGTGAGTTTGATTATGTTACTGTCGTTGGAGAGATCATGTTGTTTTTGCAGTGTTTAGTCTTGTTAATATACACATGTTAACCCATTAGAAGGAGTATATTTATTGAGTTTGTGGTCACTGTTTTAGTTTACTTAGGTACGTACCGACCCGGGTAGAAGAACAAGGTAAGAATCCTTTTATTGATACCTGTTCTATTGAAGTAGATAAAGAAATAAGTTATCTTTTTTAACAAACCATTTCTTCACTTGTTATTATTATTTTACGCTGAATTTAGTCTTTCAAATCATAGAAACATTGATAAATGACAACATGCTCTTTATTTCCAGAAAAAAATTAAGACCTTTCTGCAAAATGGAATTTTATCGATATCCCATGGATAAGCAACTGTGTACATTGGAGATAGAGAGCAGTAAGAATTATTTATGCATTAAGGTTGTATTTACATATTAATTGGGCCGGGATAGCCTGGTCGGTAGGGTGCCGGCCCCATGTCCGAGAGTTCGAACCCCGCCGGTGTAGTAAAGTGACTGATGCACGTTAAATCTGTCGAGTGGCAAAAGTCCTCCATGTTCTCATAACAAATCAATACCTCTGGGGGTACTGGATTGGAGATCGATCGTTCTCTGATTCAGGTCAAAATTACGATCTGTGGATGAATGAATGGGTCCGCCCTATAAACGGGTGCGACGTATGGTGTGGCAGAAGTCGAATTCTCGGCCATAGATGGCGCCACTGAAAAACAAGAAACTCGCACTCTGCCTTAAATTAGCTCAGTTTCACCAGGCAGGCTTGCTAGTATGGCAAGTGACATTAGTGCTGAATTGACAAAATGGCTTTACGCAAGTAGTTGTAAGTTTTATTAATTTTTGGGAACTATAAATTCAAACATTTTTCCTCTAGAAAAAGACTGTATAGAGTTACGATGTCTGTAGGCATACTTTATCTTGGCTTTCCTACAATCGAACATCAATTGATCAATCAGATGCTAATAGCAATTTGTTGTCATTAGTAAACAGAAAACGCCAACAAATAATGGAACGCCAACAAATATTATCGTTAATAAAGAGACCCTGCATTACTAAATTATTTTACAAATTAAGTTATTATCAAATAAATGAAGAAGCCACGGTGGCTTAGGTGATAGAACACCCGCAAACTATTGAGATGATTCAAGTTTGAATCCCATCGACGGCTGACAGAAACAAATTCTGCTCCAGGCTCGCACCGTCAAAAACATGGTAGACGTTAAATGGATCATGGACCACCGGGCTAACAGTGGGAAGTTTTTATGGTTTTTCTCTCCGTATAACGCAAAAGCGGGTTAGTGTCCTCCAAAAGTACTACTAAGGCTAATTTGTTCCAATGTTTGCCCAAGAGTTCACTTATCTTCTGGATTGAGTACAAAATTATAATGCTATGGAGTTGAACATAAATAGTCGTAAATTTCAAAACGAGTAAATCGCTCAACGGCGGTTAAAAACTAAAATAAAAACGTAAATGAAGTATTAGCATATTAAGAAAAGGAAAATAATAAAATCTTAGCTAACATAAATAAAGGCACTACGTACATAACAAAGAACAAATAATCAGATATTCATATTTCCAAGCCGTCCACTCAGTACATGATTGAATGATGATTAAAGATTGCAAATCTTTGGATCATTCTTTAGGGATATTTTCCAGACTGTCAACAATGAATGTGCTCTTTGGATCGTTCTTTAGGGATATTTTCCAGACGGTCAACAATGAATGTGCAACGTAAATAAAGTACTACTGCTATCTCTAAAAAGTATTCAAACCCGTGTAAAATTCTCGTTAAAAAAAATTCAAAACAAAAGATTATTTTTAAGAATGCGGCATGTCAGTCTTAGAAGGTTTTTTAAGGGCTTCTTCAGATAAAATTACTGTATATAAAATATTGTAATAAAATTATTGTATATTTGTCTAACTGGGGATTTGAAAAATTGTCCAAAATTGAAGGTTTCTTGGTGCATAATATTCTAGTGTTCAAGAAGTGTACAACTAATTTTTATTTATGGTTTATTTCAGGTGTTTTACCAAGTACTGATTTGGAATTAGCATGGTCAGATACGAAGCCCTTGGATTTGAATCGAAATTTCATTGTTGCAGGCTTTAGTTTGTCAAATCATTCCCTTACAGAAAAGCTGACAGTTTACCCGCAAACTGGTACATAGTTTATATGTTCTCAAATAACTATTTCAAAGATACAACAACCGTCATACAACTTTCTATAGCTCCCTCCATCCTCTCTTTTTTACTTCTTTTGATAAAATATTGACAGAGTTTCCGTCCATCAATTTTACTTTGTTCAAAAATATCTGTTACTTAAGACTCTTATAACCAATATTCTTTCTATTTTTTGTAATGACGATGTGTAGAAGATGCGCAAAGCATCTTTTTTATTTTCTTACATGTTAGTTTCGGAGTTATTAAATTTTCCAGTTTCGTTGTTTGACGACTTCTTGATTTATTAAATATCAAGGAAAAATTAATCGCAGTAAATCATCGCAGCAAACAAGAAGAATCAGGCTTTAAGAAAAAGAATGTGAATTAGTGTGTTGTATATTTTTCATCATTCTAATGGAACTCATAACTGCGTATAATTACTATTATAAGAGATAAAACACAGAATTATTATTAAAAATAATTTTCGAAGAAAACTAATCTTTGTAGTTATCTGCACAGTAGTCTTAGTAAACTAAATATATAAATATTTTTTTTTATATATTAAGATGCTTTATTTTTTATTTATTTATTGGATCCACTTTTATTAATTTGCAGAAAGGGAATCAGCTCCAAAGTTCTCGTCATGTTATTTTAATCATCTAAGAACTAACATGATCTAATAGAACCAAAGTAGCTCCTTAATTCCACTGTTTTATTGACTTGTTCGTTCATGATCCATGCTTGATCTTTTAATCAATTGCCTGTGTGGGCAAGGCCATTCCTCACTAACGAAACCAGCATCATTCCGTAGTCTATAAAGATAGAATTAGATGTATACAAACTGAGGAGACTATTAGTCTCCGGCAAACACAACTCTTATAACTTAATTAAGAAAATATCAAACGCAACTAAAGGCCACCTGAATAAAAATCCAAGTATACACAATCTGGCCAAAAGTATCCAGATATGCACCTAATGAATCATGGCGTGGGGTTGTTTTTCATGGTTTGCCCTGGGTCTCTCAGTTATTATGGTTGGAAACATGAACATTAGGGTTCATTCTGGGCTATCTTTCGCTAGCAACTCCATGACACTATTTTGGGAAAGGATCATTTCAATTCCAGCAGAAAAACTGGTCAATTCACTTATCAAGACTATCACAGCCATGATTTCACAAAATGGGTGTTCAAGAGCCGTGATGGCTCACGGGATAGAGAGTTCGCCTTCCAATGCGGCGAACCGGGTTCGAATCCCAGTCGATACGAACTCCGCACTCGGCTTGCACCGACCACAGTGCTGACGTGAAATGTCCTCAGTGGTAGACAGATCACTGGTTAGAGTCCCCTTGCCTTCAGGCTAACCGTGAGAGGTTCTAGTGGTCTTCCTCTCCGTGTAACGCAAATGCGGGTGAGCTCCATCAAAAAGTCCTCCACGAAGGCAAATTTCTCCCAATACTCGATCCAGGAGTTCCCTTGTCTTCTGAATTGGGTTCAAAATTACAAGGCTACGGAGTTGAACATTAGTAGTCGTAAACCCATATAATTGGGTCGCCTGTTTAACGACGGTTATAAAATAAAAACGGGTGTTCAAAAACTGGACAGATAAAATATCCCTTTTCAAAGTCCCGATCTAAATCTCATAAAACATCTTTGGAACGCAGATTACGTATCCAGTTAAATCGAGCATCCTAACTGTCAGCATCCATTTCCACTGTGATGGACACCTGGAAGCCAACTCTTATAACCATCTATTAAAAAAACTAGAGGAAAGTTTTTCCAAACGTGAACAGGATGCCATAGATTCAAAAGTGGCCCCTACGTTATATCAGTATCTGCCCCAGAACTCATTAAATCTGGATGCTTTTGGCTAGATAATGTATCTGACCCTGAACAATGAGTTAGTTAAAAAAAATTCTACCATTCTTATTACTAGAAAATTAAATCGATGAACTTAATCAAATTCTTGTCTTATTTAACATTTTCAAAAAAAAAAAAACTGTACAAATATTTTGAAAATGTTAAATTTAAAATGTCTAAAAAATTTCTCCGATTAAGTACAGAAAAAATCTACTTTTTCTTTTTCCAGGAAATTTCAGTCGGATAATAGTCACATTTGAACTTGATAGGGAATTTGTTCATTTTATAATGGACATCTACATACCAAGCATTTTATTTGTTGTAACATCGTGGCTCTCTTTCTGGGTAGAAATACCAGCTGCACCTGCCAGAGTCACTCTCGGCATGACTACATTGTTGACCCTTGTTACAACTACGAAGGCCATTAGAGATAAGTTGCCTAAACTCTCATACATTCACGCCTTAGATGTGTGGAATGTGGTTTGCATAAGTAAGTTTATTTAAATCTATTATCAAACGATTTTATCAAACGTATTTATTATCAAACGATTGTTTTCAAATAATAAAAAAAGAGCTTGGCGCATTGTTGTATACGTCGCAACTTTTAGATAATATTCTGTTAAATGTCGTGAAATCAACAGGAGTTACTTTAAAAAAGAGTAAGATATCTTGATAAAAACCACGGGAAAGAAATTAATATAAAGGAATACTCTAAAATGAAACTTTGTAGTTTTTTTAAAAAGTTTTCAAACATTTTCTTGCAATTTTGCACTATTAGCAGAGCCTGACTAAGGCAGGGGCAGTTGCCCTGGGGCCCCCACATCGGAGGGGGCCCCAAATCGATAGAGTTTATTTTATGCTTCGGCTTTTAAACAAAATATCAATGCAGAATAAAATCTGTCAGTTTCATGTTAGCTTCTTCATCGTATGAACACAAAAAATTTATATTTCGTAAATCCATGGCTTTCTAGGGCGAAATTCAACTTAATTTCTGAAATTACGATGGACAAATTTGGCCAATCAAAAGCCCGTATTTTTACACATCGCAAAATGTGATTTTTTTCTGCAAAAATCTGTGTTTCTGATTGGCTTAATTGAGCTATCGTAATTGCAAAAATTTAGCTCAATTTCGCCCTAATTTTAGCAAGGATATGAATTTTTCGCAGCTAAATGACAAAGTTAACAATCAGAAAACTGCATTTCGAAAAATGCCTTCACATGATGAGCATAGAATTGTCAAAAAATCAATAAAATGGACTGAACGATCTTTCGTCTGATGACTGGAGGTGGGGAGGGGACTTTATAGATATTTTAGATTCTAGTCAATCTTCTTGTTATACATCTATGAGGTGAAAAATACCACCATAAAGTTCGGTTCTTCATAACTTAAGTAGTGAAGCAGAGGGGGGAGTCAAAGGAAGTTTTTGCCCCAGGCCCCAATTAGGCTAAGTCGGGTCTTGAATATTAGTTGTTATAAAAATTATAAGACTGTACTGAAAATTTTATAATGTTATAAAATTTGCAGCTGTTAATACCAAAACAGCTGAAACATTTCATAACTCTATTGACATTTACTTTATAATGCTATAAAATCTGCCTATTTGTAATCCCTTTTATAATTTTCAAAAAAAAAAGTTTTTTTGTGTCGTTCCGCTTTCAAAAGAGAAAATATAATGCAAATTGCGAGGAAATTGAATTTTCTATACAGATGGTAGCTTTCCTGCATAACACCAGCGCCGAAAATGAAGCAGATGTTTTTTACGATTTAATATTGATCTTATAAAAAGCTACTTGAGTAAATGGTAAATTTTGACTTGAAGCCACGGACTATTCCCAGCATTCTCTTGTGTCTCACTCCTCAGGGTGCCATGGAACTTCTGTAGCAAATAATGTATAAAAATGTCTTCTTAAAACCTCATAATTTGCTCACGCATTCCAAAGAGAATTTATGATCAAAATTATTTATTGCTGATATTTCAAAGGTGATAATTAAAAAAGGTGTTTTGAATATATGGTACATTCAACATAATAATGTCGAATAAGCAATAATAAACATATGGTAAGGTTTCTGTTTTACTATTAAAGTACTACATTGCTACAACATTATGTAAGACTAATCTATTGTAAGATTTTTATTACTATTGCTTTTATTAATATAGATTTTTATTATTGCTTCATAAACTGATAGTAATGTATGAGTTTTGCTAATATAACAGTAATCAAATATTTTTTGTTAACTATAAAACATAGCAAAAAAAAATTTTTAGAGCATTTGAACTTATTTTTTTCTTTCGCGCTAACACCTTGTTTATTTTAAAAGTATTTATATAAATTATCATTTAATTTACATTTTAAATGTTAAAAAATTTCAGTTTTGTCAAAAATTGTTGGCTTATAGCTTTTAATTAAAATATTCGCAATCACAACTCTCGAATACGCCATCTGAGGAGAACACCGGTTCCATGTCTTTTCTCAGTTGAGTAAGCTTTCTTTTAGAACTATGTTCAATATAGTTTTCAGTTCCAAATAGTTTCATAATTTAAAAGATTTTAATCCATTTTAAAGTCAAGGGAGAAACTAACTTTCTTCCTTCTCTTATGACTCTTCTTCTCTGTGGTATAGGAATGTACAACAATATTTCCCCCTCTGAATATTTTTCGTATTTGATTGTCACAAATATATATTTTTTAAATTTTTACGACACTTTCTTTTAGAACTATGTTCAATGTAGTTTTCAGTTCTATATAGTTTCCAAACTGAAAAGTTTTTAATCTATTTGAAAATCAAAACATAAACTTACATATTTCCTTTTATGACTCTCCGCATGCTAATAATGAAAGCATGCGAAGGGTTGCCTAGATGCACCCCCAGTGAAAATTTCTGAAGACGCAGTGGACAAAACATTTTTCCAGTGGCGTAGCGAGGGGTGGGCAACGGGGGGCATCAAACCCCGGGCGCTACTCACAAAGGGGCGCCAAATGGTCCGCAAAACAAAAAATTACTGAATAATTTTTTTTAATTATAATTGATTTCTGGAAAATATATTTTAAATTAGTGCCAGTGTAATATAATAAATATTAATTCACAAATATTATTCATAGTATTTCATTTATATTAAATATTATATTAAATTCATATTCATATTAATTATACTTCAATATTTAATTCACGTCCTTGTCATCGCGCTCTGCTTAGGATAAAAATGAAATGCTATTAAATATTATATATAAGTTTAATGTCAACATAAATTATANACTCTTCTTCTCTGTCGTATAGGAATGTACAACAATATTTCCCCCTCTGAATATTTTTCGTATTTGACTGTCACAAATATATATTTTTTAAATTTTTACGAGACTTTCTTTTAAAACTACGTTCAATATAGTTTTCAGTTCCAAATAGTTTCACAGTTTAAAAGTTTTTAATTTATTTAAAAGTCAAGAAAAAAACGAACTTCCTTCCTTTTCATATGACTCTTCTTCTCGGTCGTATAGGAATGTACAACAGTATTTCCCCCTCTGAATATTTTTCGTATTTGATTGTCACAAAAATATATATTTCAAATTTTTACGAGACTTTCTTTTATAACTATGTTCAATGTAGTTTTCAGTTCCAAATAGTTTCATAATTTAATAGATTTTAATCCATTTTAAAGTCAAGGGAGAAACTAACTTTCTTCCTTCTCTTATGACTCTTCTTCTCTGTCGTATAGGAATGTACAACAAAATTTCCCCCTCTGAATATTTTTCGTATTTGATTGTCACAAATATATATTTTTCAAATTTTTACGACACTTTCTTTTAGAACTATGTTCAATGTAGTTTTCAGTTCTATATAGTTTCCNATTTATTTTACTTTATTTATTTATTAATTTGCGAGTATATTTTACATATAATATTATATGGTTTACGAATGGGGGGGGGGGCGCTAAAAGGGTATTGTGCCCCGGGCGCGAGTTAAGTTCGCTACGCCACTGCATTTTTCATCTCCTTCCTTTAACTATTGGTCATTTTTAGAACACCCGATAGGAGTTTTAAATATTTTGTTTTGACATCTAAGAAAGTGATATTTGCAGTAATTAAAACTGATTTGTTCCGTTGAATTAGCTGAATAATAAATAATTTGTTCTAGGTTTTGTGTTTCTTTCATTGGTTGAGTATGCAGTTGTGAATTTCATTTACCATAAAGACAAAAGGAGAAGAAAGAGCAAAGCTATGCCGAGAGTAGAAAGTGAACCCTCATTTTACTCAGGGGAAAATATTCGTATGTCACGTATGTACGCAAGAAACACGGTACGTAGTATAGGTTTACCATCATGAGTTGGCGTGTGCAGCGTGAGAGTAAAGCGAGCCATTATGCTTATTTTAGCTACTTAGGGGAAGAAGGCAAAGAAATTAATAAATTTAACTTCTTTAAAGAGCTATCTATCGTAGTGGTTTCTATCGGAACAGTTTACCAAGTTGGAATCTTCGCCAAAAGAAATACTCTCACACTTTGCGTGTTTTAACTTACCTCATCTATGAAAAAGTGAACACTTTCGCTAAGCTTTCCTTCCACCCGCCAACTTATGGTTGAATAATATTAAAAATAGTAAAGCATTTTACCTTTTAATTATTGATATATTCTAATAAATGCTTGGATAAACCAAGAAGCAAGTTGCTTTTTAAAAAAAAATCATACTGTGCACTTTTGTTTATTCTAATTTAAAAAGAGTACGTTTTCACATTGAGCACTTAAAAATAAGGAACTGCTTTAGAATTTCTCAAAAAATTTTTTATTTATATTTGAAAAAAAAATATTTATTTTTAAATGAATACATGAATTTAATATTTCACATTACCTTGTTGACCAACCTGCTTAAACACCTAAGATGATAAATTTTTAAGTAGAAAGGTCCGTAATCACCGTCTAAAATTTATACTTTTTGAATTTTTGACAACAATGAAGCCAAAAACCTATAAACAGGAATCACTAAATAGTATATAAGGGAGGGGGGGGGGAACTAAAACTTTTTCTACTTAGGAAGCCTCCACTAAAAACGCAAAATGCTGTTTGCTGGAATTGACAGAGATAAGTTAAAAATCGATTATAAGGAACACCTCCAAGTTTTATTAGGCAATTTAACAGGTTTTGTTGTGCTGATTGCTCAATGTTCTTCAGCAATTCGTTAGATTTTGGTTGCGTTTTAATTTTTTACCCTACTGTAAATTTCCAATCCCTACTGTTATTGTGTGCACACATGACTTCAAAATTGATAAGGATTTAGCGGTTGCACAGAATCTGCATACTATTTTATTACACCTTAGCGATCAGTTCTGTCAAACTTTTACAAAAATGTATACGAATTTTTAAAACATCAAAGAACAAACAATGTAATTTTTGCTTTTGAGATAACCGTAAAACATTGTTTCATATTTAAACTTTTTTTTTTTGCAGAGTGAGATTGCAAGAAAGAAGGAATTCTTAAGATCCGTGTCTGCTTTTTCAGACTCACAATCTACAACAAGCGAAGTGGACGCATCTTGTGGATGGGTTTTGAATGAGGGACTGACTCCACAAGACATTGCCAACGGAATAGACAAAAAGTGCCGATATCTCTTCCCCGTCACCTTTTTAGTCTTTAATTTTATTTACTGGTTAGTTCTTTGGGTGTAGCATTGGATAATGCATTTATATAAATATACGATCTAAAATAACGAAACCTTCCTACAAGAATTTTCTCTTCATGCCCAATTTATAGAATGTTATTTGTTGATTAATAATTTTAAAGTTTGTTTCAACACATTATGTTTTAGATAAATAAAAAATGGTTTTAAAAAGGAAGTGCCAGAAAGCGCGCGTCATTTGTGCTCTAAAATGCAGAGACAAAAAAGCCAAGTGATAATTGATGAGTAAGGGTAATAGCATAAAGATGAGCTACACGAATGAACAACAGATTTTCATTGTTCAGCAATATTCGAAACACTGTTGCATTTCTTGGTTATGATCTTGTGTTTTTTGAAATCATAATTGTCTGATTGGATCCTGTGGTTTGCCGCTTTGGACTTTTTCCTTTGAAGCTTTTTGAGATCTAAAATTTATGCTAACAATCTATGATTGCTCATGCATTGAAAGGATGAAAAAAAAGAGAGGGCCAAGTCAACGAAATTAAGTTACATTTATGCAAAACGGTCATTAAAGAGTTCAACAAAACAGTATATGTGGCAGCCAAACTTTTACTCAATTACCCAATATATGCTATTCCATACACAACTCTATATGTTATGAATCAATTTTCACATAAAATATTTTTTGCTATCTAAATTACTTGAATAAATTTTGTGAAACACTATTTATCTCAACTAACAGAATAAGATGCTTGTTTTTCTATGTTTATTTATTAAGAAATTTAAATAAAAAAATTATCTCATTCTTATTTAAGAAAGATATTCTCATTACTAAACAGCTTTACAATAAATATTAAAACTCCATTTTTGATCCAGAATATAACTTTTACTCTGATTATTTTTTTCCTACAAAATAGTGTTTTTTTGTATTAAGACTATTTGTAAAGTTCATTGTTAGGTTTCCTTACCACATAACTTCTGATGAAGTATGATAGACAAAAAGTATTAGGGTAAAAAATAGTTTCTACAATAGACAAAAGTCGTACTAATTTGTTTGCAAATGCTGAAATAATTCACATTTAGATTGTGAAGTGCAGTTATACCTCAGATGGCAATCTCACACATAACATAGGAGCGTAGCTTATGCATATTAGTGTCTAATATACTTGTGTTGTGTGTGAGTTGTTCAATAAAAAATTTTGCGAAGTTGTGATGAAAACAGTAACCTATGCACACACTTCTAAAGAGAGGGAGAAAAAATGTATGGCATGTTTTATGAATACATATTCTTGTCTTAGATACTATTAAAATTTATAAGATAAGAAAACCCTACATATAATTCACACTACATATAAAGGTGATTATTAATTTTACTTTATTCAAATTGAATATCAGCTGCATGAAATATAAACTGACTCATTGTCCCATGTTTGATCTAAAGGAAACTGATTTGAGTAAAATAGGGATGAAAATTTGTACTTTCTTTTAATTATAAAGTCATTTCTTCTTTTTTTTTAATAGACAATCTTTTCTGAATTGTGTAAAATAAATGCTGTACATATTTTTTAATAAATTTCATATTATCTTTTTTCTTCTTAGTAAGCATTCTCACTGCATGCGATTGGCGCATCTCTGATCGCCATTGAGAGAACCTGATTGGTGAATTTCTTGCAGGGGGGATATATTTCACAAATCAGATTCTCATATTCCCCTGACATGTACAACACCCAGTTCGTATATAATTATACTGGGTCGTCCGTTACCATATTCTTATAATGCTTTCTTATAACGATAAGTAAAAAAAATGCACACAGGAGTCTGAAAATTATACCTTAATGGAAATCAAAATTTAAAAAATCATCAATAAGGAATGTCTAGAGGTCAGAAAAGGCACTTTCATAGTTTTCATTAAAGCAGGCATAAAGTTAACAGAATATTAGGCAAGTTATGTAAAAGAGAATAAGTACTATTTATTGAAGAATTTCAAAGTGGACCAATCTGAATTCTCAGAGTAATTTTTTATTTCAAGGTTGAGTGAGTTCTGGTAAACCTAGCATAAACCATGAAGTTTTAAATGCTGGAAAAATATTTTTACATCAAAATTAAAACAAATTATCGCAAGACTATTTTAATGCATAATCCTAAGTTATTCTACTATTATTTGTTCAAAATTTGCTATTTTGAAACATTTTTTTTTAACAAACATGGTTTACTCTATGTTTACCTGCACTATTTTAAATTATTTATGTAGGTGAAAAAGAATTTTCCACAAAGGATTTCTCTCTCGGTATAACGTCTTCTCAACTTCCCAAATTTCTCCTAATATGCCAACACCTGCTGTATTCAAATACGATGTCTCTCTTCACTAGCTTCATAACTATTTTTACAAAAATATTAAACAAAGTCTTTCAGAAGCTTCGTGTCATTTACTTCCTATCTAATAATTTTTTTTAAAGGATGTTGCGGACTCTCTTGACTGTTTCATTTACAAAGTAAATATTTGTCTCGTAAGTTAAGTGATCTCAGAAACCAGAAAAATCAACTGGCTCTATTATGCAACAAGCTTTGCATGTTTGAGGTAGGGAGAAACCGCTTTTTTTCCAGAGCAGATAGAGATGTGGATGAAGCAAAATATCGATATTTTAGCTTAAGCTTGGTTAACAATAAACTTAGCTACATTGCAAAATAAAAAGTTGACTAGTTATCCATTTCATATTCTGGTTCAATATTGACTTATTTAATTTGTCCAAAGTTATTAAAAATCCTTTAAATTCAGGAAATACAAAGCAAAATAGTACAATGTATAGAAACAAACAAGTTGAAATTTTAAGCATGGCCTGTTTTGTGAATGAAATGCAGTGGTTTTGTTCCAAAACTTCATAAAGCCATTTAATTTCAAAGCAATAACACGCAATTTTGTAAATAAATTGCAGTTCTTTTCAAAAGTGTATCCCTCTTGTAAAGAATGAAACCATATTCCAACAGATAATAAATCATTCTAATACATAGTCAAAGCCATAAGCAATAGATATGAAATTTAAGTAAAAAATTACAATTTTCATACATAAAAAAACTGCAAATTTGTTGTTGTGGGTTTAGTTGTCACCTACCAGGATTCCACACTCCCTGCTAAAGGCACCTGATAAGACTGCACATTCTACGATTGCAATTTAGAGCTTTGAAATTCATTCTAACTATATATATATATATATAATCACACAATCCCTATAACCTTAAAGAACAATTTTTTAGGGGGGGGGGAATCTTACATTTTTGCAGATCTTAAAGGTACAGATGGATAAAAGAACCCTGGTCTAATTGGAGTTATAATAAGGGGTTTTCAAAGTAGATGAAGATTCCAAGTACAGTACGGAAAAAAAAAATGAACCAACCTGAATAACTCTTCATCAAATAATCAGATTTTCACATACCAGGACTAAATGGTACAAAGAGGACTTCAAATATGCAAATTAATTAGTACAGACGATATTTTAAGCAATGAAAAAAGACAAAAACGTACCTTCACTGAATAAACATATCTTTTTATGATGAATTTGGATTTTTGACTCTCAAATTAAGGGGGAGGTAGCTGCAATCTGAGAAATATGGTTCAAATAGTTTGGTGAAGAGGGCGGTCCAAAGTTTAGACCCCTTAATGTTAATATTTTGCGTATTTTGGGAATTTAAGTGAATAAATATATTTAAAAATGTTAATACAAGAAATGTCAATAAGTATCCTTAACTAATTATGAATTTATGAAATATATTTCGAAGAAGTTACCTAAAAAATTTATTATTTTATTTATATTTCGCTCTTAAAAAAAAATATTTGGTCACTCTATTACAAAGAACTATAGTTTTGACTGAAACTAAAGATTCCTAAACAATTTTATTATGATACATTTTTACAAAAGCAAATATAAAATGTAGCAAAAATAGATATTTTCAAAACAGTTATTTATAAATTTTCAAATTGTTCTTCAACAAGCTTTTTAAAAATCTGAAAAGAAAAATGCAAGAATGTTAATATTTTAAATATACATAAAACCATTGAACGTCATTAAGGGAAAAATGCTTAATATGAATTTTCAGTTAAGATGAAGGAAAACTTTATCCCCATTATATACATTGGAAAACAATATAATGGCATTGTTAATAATGAACATAAAAACAAACTTCTGTCTTTTAAGCCAAAGTGAATATTGCACCCAATGAAAACAGATTGCAAATAAAATGAAACAGAATTATATGGAGTATTTGTTCTGCTCCTTATATGTATGTCTGCAAACTTATTATTCTATTCTTTCTTTTTTTTACACTAGTCATTTAAATTTAAGTGATAAAATAATATTTTTGCAAAACCCGATCATATAGGGTTCGTTGGATTGTTTGTTTTCCAATCAGGATATGTTTTAAACAAAAAGTGAATGACCTCCCAGAAGTTTCTAATTCTGTATTATTAATTTTTATTTCTAATATAAAATTATAACCGTAAAATGGAGGCATTTTCTTTAATTATAAAACATATAAAACATTTTAATTCCACTATTAAAACATTTTAGTATTTCATTATAAATAAAGGATTATGTTAACTAAATTCTAACTACAAATAAATACGGTAAGATCCCGCTTAACGCTGTTTTGTTTAGCGCTGTTTCGTTTTAGCGCTCTTTTATTTCAACCCGGGGATTCCTCGAAATTGTGTGCGGGGTCTCCCTCAAATATGAACATAGCATATCTGAAACAGTGTAGTTGTGTTTCTTGTTTGGTGCGGTGCTGTATGGACGCATTTTTATCACTTGAAACATTTGTTGACATTATTGTAAGTACATATAAATTTATATAATACTATAACGATTAATACAGCGACAAATATTATGATCTTTAGTTTTTATCATGAGTGATAATGAAAAACAAGAAAAGAAAGAAACCAGAAAAAGTATTTCACTGGAAACTAAAATGCAAGTGATTAGAAGGTTAGATTCTGGTGAACGTCAATCTCAAATTAGTGCTGCATTGAACTTGGCAACTTCATCAATAAGGACAATTCTTAAGAATAAAGAAAAAATACTGTCATCAGCAACTGCAACTAGGTCAAGCTCAGCAACTAGAATTACCCATTCTAGAAATAACATTATAGAGGAAATGTAAAAACGGCTGTTTATATGGATTAACCACGAAATTGAACGCAATATGCCATTAAGCCAATCCATCATAATGGAAAAAGCTAGAAGAATTTTTAATTACATTCAGGTAGAGGCAAGTGACATAAGTGAAGCTTTCGTTGCTAGTCAAGGATGGTTTAATAGATTTAAACATAGAAATAATCTTCACAACATAAAGATAACAGGAGAAGTAGCAAGTGGTGATACGAAAGCGGCGGCTGAATTCCCAGCGATTTCCATTAAAAACAATTGAACAAGGAAACTATCCTCAAGAATTGGTTTTTAATGTTGATGAAACAGGCCTGTTTTGGAAAGGAATGCCAAAACGAACATTTCTATCCAGTGAAGAGAAACGAGCACCAGGATTTAAAGTCGCAGAAGATCGCTTAACACTTCTACTGGGTGGTAACCCAAGCTAAGATTTCAAATTAAAATCACTACTAGTTTACCACTCCAAAAACCCAAGAGCGATGAAAGGCATATCTAAATCAAATTTACCTGTAATTTGGGAGTCTAACAAAAAATCATGGATAACTATGAAAATTTTCCAGTATTGGTTCACTGAACATTTCTCCCCATCTGTTAAACATTATTGCGAAATTAGAAAACTTGAACAGAGAGCGCTACTATTAATTGATAATGCTCCAAGCCACCCAACAAATTTATCAGACTTAACAACATGCATTCCAGTCGAAATGGTTTTTTTGCCGCCTAACACAACTGCCTTAATCCAACCAATGGACCAAGGCGTTATATCCAATTTTAAGGCTTATTACTTGTGGCGAACATTAAAGCAGATGTTTGACAAAATAGACGGAGAAGAGAAGCAATCAATAAGAGAAATTTGGAAAAACTACAATATCATGAATGCTGCAGAAAACATAAACCTTTTTTGGAATGAGATAACAGAAAGATCTTTGAAAGGAGTACGGAAGAACATTTGGCAGATTTAAGTAAGAGCAAAGACATTGGACACTCTGTCGATATGGATGAAATAGTGGAAGAAATAGTGGAATTAGCAAAACAAACCGGCTTAGATGAGGTAAATGTGGAAGACGTCGAAGAAATAGTTCAAGAAACAGCAGCTAGCCTTTCTAATGATGAGCTCAAGGAATTAACTGAGCAAGAAGAAAACAAAAATATTGATAGTAGTGATTTCGAAGAAGAGCAAAAAGAACTTTCGATGGCATTTGTAAAAAGTAGTTTGGCCACTATAACTGAAATTATGGACCAATTTGTTCAAAATGATCCAAATTTTGACAGAAGTTCAAAAGCAAGACGGAGTGTTACAGATGCTTTATCCACTTATCAACAACTTCTAACAGAACGCAAAAAGAAAACACAAACTACAATAGATGCCTTCTTGACAAAAAGGCAGAAAATTGGAAACACAAAATAGACTGAATGGACTGACTTAGAATTTTATTTGTTTTTATAAGTACGTATATTCGTTTACATTGTTTTTATTTTTGTAAGAAATAAATGTTTGGTTCTATTTTCATTAAAAAAAAAAAACATAATTATTAAATTCAATACCTAACCAATTTTCTATTTATCTTCTCCTAACCTCATTATTTACATGTTAAGATAGCCTCGTTTAGCGCTGTTTAGCATTACGCTCTACTTTGATGGAACGTATCCTACGCGTTAAGCAGGGTCTTACTGTATCTTAAAACATGTTTCTTATTAAAACTCATACTAAAACTGATTAAAGGTTTAAAAAAATTACAAAAACTATGAGTAATTAACACACTAAGAGATGAAGTTGAAGTTATATAAAACTGGGAGAAATAAAAATAAAATAAAAAATGAAATACTTACTAGCATTATTGTACAAATATCTTTTGCAGATTCAATACTTTTCAAGTCATTAGAATTCATTTTATGCCCTATACCTTTTAATTCCCTTTTTAAATATTCAATATTTACATATGCAGGGCAAGGACACCTAAAACAAAACAGAAAAAATTACTTTAAAGAGAAAAGTCTCATAATTGACTTGATGAAATTTCAAAAATTCAGGAAAATAAGCTTTTCAGATTAATAAGTCCTTAATGTAAACAAATGTTAATATAAGCCAGGGGCAAAACAAAGTACATCAGAACTAATATGATAATAAAATTACTGAAATATGATTGTTATCTCTTATTTGTTTTGAATAAAAACTACTGAATGTCAAAAAAATTTTTAATTAAATAAAATTTTTATTCAAATTTTAAAAAAATTTTTCAGCTAAAATTTGGCCAGTAAATTACAGCAACAAGCATTTTGCAACCTTTGCAAAACGTAAATTTTTTTTTAATGAATTTTTGCAAGCTTTTAAGAGAATCGTTTTAAGAGACACTACAATTGCAAAGTAAATGTTTCAAAGTTGAGTAACTGACAAACATTAGTTTATGAAACTTAAATAAAAACATTTAAACAATATTGTATTTTTCACACCCATTTAAACCCTTTAGGAGAAAGTATATAGGATTCTTCTTTTTTTCCTGAAGAGGACTTTAAACTCGCAAAATTTTAGTTTTCATGAATTCACCTAATTACTTCACCCCAGTACTTTGCAATGTAAAATTTGAAATCTTAACTTTTTAAGTCTAGTAACTTAATAGTTTATAACGGAAGAAATAATTTCTAGATATATATCTAGTAATATAAAAATATATTCTTAAAAAAAAATTGAACTGAATGTATATAACTAAATTTTTTAATAACTTTCTCCCAGTCAAAAATTTTATTCTATTATACTTTCATACTTTACATTATTATTTCTATTATATTTTTATGTTTTTTATTATCTTAATTTTTTTTTGTTATTATCTTATCTTAACATCTTAATTTTTATCATCTTAACTACTTTGAATACATAGAGAAAAAAAATGGAAAATACAAAATTTAACAGAAATAATTTACAAGAGTTATTTTTTAATCAATAAAGTTTAAAACTGCAATAAAAAAAAACTTTACTGATTTTTAGACTTTAAAAAATTCTAAGATACAAAAAATATTATATTATCAAATATTCTTACAAAAAATCTGGCTTATATACATTCTTACAAAAAATATTATATTATCAAAAACCAAAGTATAAAAACCAAAACACTGATTTGAAAAACTAAAACACAGAGTAAAAAATCCTTAAAAATGATATTAGAAGCTTAGAAAAATAAATTTTTAATTGTCTAAAAATAATACTTCTAAAATTGCAAAAAAGAAAAGTCCAATATTTTTCATATAATTTTTACAGACAAAAAACTTATAATAAAAACTCTCCTTTTATCCTTTAAAATTTAATTTCAAAAGAAGGTAATTTTTGACAAAATTTCTTTTTAGCCTCTTTTATTTTAATATACTTTAAATATGTTTATTAGCATTAATACTAGAAAAATCTGAATAGGGTCAAAATAATAATTTTTGTAATCTTTGTTTTTGTTTTGCTATTTATGAATAAAAAGTAGTAAACGTTTTGAAATTAAAATTATAAAAAATAAAACAGTATTTCAGATTAGTCCCACAAAGTGAAAAGTGTAATGGAAAATGGTACTTACCTCAATAGCGTCTTGTAAACTTTTGAAAGCAAGTACTTTGAATCTTGAGAATCTATAAGAATTTCATCCAAAATTAAAAAAATTTCTAATAAAATATTTACTTAAATTGCAATACAATTAAAAATAAATTAAAAAATTTTGATGTTTAAACTTAAAAAGGAATGACAAAATAAATAAAATGAAATTAAGGCATGAATAAAGAAATTTGACCTTAGAACATATTTTTGAATTGACAATTTAACGTTTCATGCTTCTTTTAAGACACTGAAATATTACAAAAAATCATTTTAATGATAACAAAACTAAGACTTTTTCTTCATATTATACAGCAAAAAATTAAAATTCAACTCTTAATTTCTTTCCTTAATAAATCTGAAAACAGGAATGGTATGCCCAAATAAAAATTCACAGAATTTTAACATACATCACTTCAAAATCTTTTCATTACCACCTTTCTAATCTCAATATTTAAAATTCAAAGCAAACATAGCTTTATACATTATAAAATACTTAATTGGCGATGCTTAATAGAAGTACTTAATTAAATCCCTATTAGAACTTTTTTTCATTGATTTAAATACAGTGTTAAATTTATTCAAATAAAGGAGTTTATTGTTAATACAATTTATCATTATATGCAACCCATGGGTCATTACTTATGAACTGTAAAAGAAAACTATAATAAATTATTATTACCAATTTTTAATAAGTCACAGAATACTGCATTCCAAGCACTTATAAATATCTTATTATTCCACAAGTGGATCAATCGTCCTTGTGTAGCAGGTAGTATTTCTCGGAGCAAACTAAACTAAAACCATAAGCAAAAATTTAGTACAATAGAAATGCGTACTACAAAAAAACTATTGAAATTTCAAACCAATTTTGCTAACCATTGATTTTGCAAGCATTCTTTGAAGAATTGTCTCCCAAATAGAAGCATGCCAAATATTATGTTCCTGGCACAATCTTACACAAAACACCAGAGCCTAAAAAATTCAAATTCAGAAAAGAATAAACTCGTAAAGATGTTTTTGAGGTGTACAATAAATACCATGTCAGCATGAAATACGAAACACAATTAACTAAATAAATTACTAAAACGATGACCGACTGTGAGGGGAAAAAAATGACTTTCAACAGATCAACGAAAACTGTGATATCACAAACCATTACCAAGTGCAGGAAAAGTTTGTTATTCACCTGTGTCAAATTATAATCATAGATTGCAAGTACATCAAACATGTCATATACTGAATATGTATAGCAAATTACAGAAATCAAATTTTAAACATACAACTTTTTTAAAATTGAACAACCTGATAATTATTCCCCCCAATATCCTTCAAATTTTGCATTTTGCCATTTAAAATTACATTCCTTAAAATTATGGGAAAAATTGTTAACCTTACAATTCAATATTTTTCCATTATTATTAATAAAAAACCAATACATAATTATATAAAATTATTTTTTGCATTAAATTGTCTTTGGGAAAATGAATTTCATAATTCTGAGCGAAACGTTTCAATTTGCTTAAAAAAATTCTCAAGATATGGTGAAATACACAAAAAATAAAATTAACATTTAAGGGACACAAACTTTCAATTGCTCTCCTAACCAAATTATTGGGACTATATTATCCAGATTACAGCCATTCCTCATATTTTGAAAGTAAGAAGTCTAAATCCATTGAAAGAAAAGTATGTTTAGTTAGAAAAAGCACATTTCTGTGCCGAATTTTGTAAATTAACACATTGTCTGCACTAATTAATTAGCAGACTTGAGTTTAGTGTGACGCTTATCGCCACTAAATTCGAAATCACAATAAAACATTTGAAATAAATATATTGTAAACTCCAAAATAATTGATTAGATTGAAAAACTTCCTTCACTTTAACCTTACTGTGGAAACTTCCATTAGTACATAGAACCTTAACAAATATAAATAAACGCTGTTGATAAAGTGTTAAAAAATATGTGTTAGAAAAGGGTTAATCACAAGTCCATAGTCTATAAGTTTGATCTCTTATGAGACCTTTCCAGAATTTAGCAACAGTTTTATCAAACAAAAAGTATAGTAAATCAGATCTGAAGAGAAAACATTAAAAAAAGAAAACAGAACCGAGTAGCGAGAGGTTCAGAGACATTAATGCTGAATATCAGTATGGGTAAGTTCTCTCCATGCCAATTAGTCCATTTGTATGTAAAATTAGTTATAAGTATTTTAAATGAATTCAACACTATACTATTTATAAATAAAAACAATCACTGTTTAATATGCTTAGTTAGTTTGTGCCTCTACACACCGTAACATTAGGCTCTCTAATAACTAAAATTTAGTCCTAGTACGTGAAAATCCGATCACTAAATCAAAAGCAATTAAGGGTGTTTTTTTTTTCTTTTTGCATACTGTATGTTTCTAGTTATTTTTACAAATTGCATAAAATCTTTGCACTCAGTACTTTTTCAAGTTTCCCACTTGCATTTCATAAAGCTTAATAATGGTCATCCTTTATGACAATAAGCGTTAATTAATAGTTAAGATAATGAACCAAAATAATCTAATACTTACATCAGTGTTGTGGGAGTTAGAAGTCAGTACTTTTTGTAGCAGTTCAACTTTATTACACTTATTTAGCATATGAAGAGGATATGCAAGTCCCAACTGCTGCAGTTCAGCAGAACACAAAGTAGGTATCAAGTTTTCTTCCAAATTTTCCGGTGGTAATCCAAGGAGGTCAGCTATTTGATTTACACCAAAAACTGAAGCCAAACAAAACACAAATTTTGCTCTAGTGTAGGTTGACATCTCTTCAGTATACTAAAAAATTAAAACAAGAAACAGGATAAAACAAAAATTGTATAAAGAGAGGGTGTCGACATACAATCAGATATGCTAGTTCTGCAAAATTTTACATGAGCATCGGCAACAAAAAAACTTTTTCGTTGGTCGAGTATTAGCAATAGATAGCTAAATACTGCAAAATGGCACTCACAAAACATAAAAAATGGACAAAAATTCAAAATTTTTCGGAATATATGTAGTGGACAGTTTCATATCCAGAATCGTCAGGTTATGGCAAATCCAGAAAAAAGAATTTTCTTAATATTAAGTGTTTAAGGGAAAAAAAAGAAAAATGTCAAAACATTTTTATTCAATAATAAAAAATATCATATTGATGATTATCATCAATTAGATTCAATACAATACAAAAATAAATAAAAGTGAGCAAATGATAATTAGAACTTTTTCTGTCATAAACACAAAGATATATACATATATATAGCAAAATAAATACAAAAAACAGGAAGAAAATTAAGAGAAACAACATTAAAATAAGTTTTATTTATTGTGCATAAGCTGCAAGTAAATAGAACTCATAAAATAAGTTTGGAATGTAGAGAAAAAAAAGGGAAAAGTTACAGAACAATGAAAGAAGGTGGAAAAAATAATAATAATAAAAATAACAAGAAACCGGAGAAAAAAAAAATTCCAAAAAAATGACAAAAAATTTAAAAAATCCGGAAAATAAAAGATATAATACCCCTTCTTTCATTGTTCTGTAATTTTTCCCTTGTTTTCTCTACATTTTGAACTTATATATATAGGTTTTTAACTAATTTCAGTATTCTAATTAATGATTAGAATACTGATGAAAGCATTGAACAACTCACAATAGTTGGAGATCAATACATAGAAAAGTCTTATAATACTGGTGCATTAAAAAAATAGACACATTAATTAGTTAGGATAAAAAAAATTGGCTTAATTAAGCATGAGGAATAATTAAGCCTATCTTTTTTATGTCTATCTCGACAGCGAATATTTAATTTAGGAAGTGTTAGGAAATAATTAAATTTCATATGCATTTAATGCTTTTTTAGTTCTGCTAAGAAATAAAGTGCATCAAAAATAGGTTGCTTTCCATTAAAATAACTTCATGCCTCATGAGTATCATTCACATTTGAAAGTGTGGTTAAAGTGATAGATTAATTCAAATATTAGTAATTCTTCTTAACACTCGGCCATAGAGGCATTCTAATTATGCATGTTAACAGATCAGCGAAAATTTATACCTTGTAAAATTAAGCTTAATCTAAGATATATTTAGCACAATTTTAAAATATTAAATATAATAAAATTAAATATAAAAGCTACATATCATTTAAATTTAATTTTCAATTTTATGCAATCATACTTTAGTTTTGCGCAAAAGGAGGAAAAAACACATGCTTATACTAAGCTCAATAAAGAAAAATGAATGGTTCAACTTTCATTTGAAAGAAAGGAATTCATAGCTTTGTAATGTACAGTGTTCAGATTTGTGTCTGTTTAAAGTTTCTTCAAATACAATACATTACCTTACCATAGGCAGAAAAATAAACAGAACAATAACAGGGTGTGTAGCCAAATTTTTCAAGAAATAATAAGCACGTTTTAAGTACTTTTTAAGCACTTCAAAAATTATTTTAAGCACTATATACATGAACAAAATGCAAAATAATTTTCAAGATTTTACATTAACATGATAAAATAACTAGTTTCTGACAAAGAACTCTTTTTGTTCATTACATTAGCCACCATAAAATGATAGAGATTTTTCGGTTCAACTTCAGAGGGAGGAAAATGAATCCAGAAATTGAGAATCTCTTGTAAAATGCAGCAGAGTTGCACATGATAGGGCAAGAATAATTCCCACTGAATCCAGCTCAGTATAGGCACATGCAGACCCGCAAGAATTTCATCGAACATGTAAAATGATTGGCGCATTCATACGCTATGGAACAACGGTACGCCGAAATGCATTGTGTTTGAATAATTCGTGAAAATGTTGAATAGAACAATATGAAAACCTCGCTTTTGCATAATACATGGTAAAGGAAAAAAATTCTCATTTTTGAAAAGGGAAAATTAAGTACCATTTAAAAACACTCAATAAAAAAGCTCCTTTAAGGGCTTTTAAAAATCGAAAATAAGCACCTTTAAGCACTTTTTAAAAATACTATGCACCCTGAATAACTGGAAAATGAACATTAAAATGTCTTCCATCGGTGTTAATATTTTTTCTAAAAAATAGCTTCTTTTTTTGTCGTAAATAAAGATAAAAGTATATTTTCTTTTTCCTTTAATTTTTAATTATTTTCAGTACTTCAATTAAAAACCTTTTTTCGTTCCCAGTTTTTTTCTCCCCTTTTTAAAAAGATCTGAGGTGGAAAATAATTTACGCATGTTGTGACAATCTGTAACATCAGCTGCCAGGTTTCTGCTACCAGGCTCATATCTATATTGCCCCCTTGTTTTCCTTCTTGACAACTTACTGTTAAAATCAGCATTCACTTTAGAAATTGATGTTGAAAGGTAGTACATTTAATTTTATTTTCACTTGCAAGAACGTGTTGCAATTTTGAAACTTGCTAAAACATTCCTTGTAATAGACATGTCTGCCTTTTATTAAATTATAGAGATATGTAATTCAGTCTACAATCTGCAGCCAAAAATATTCTACTCTTGATATATATTTTCAATCAAAATAGCTGCTCAAAATAAAAGAAAGAGGTAACTATGTATATTTCATTATTACCACGTTTATATCAACTTGCCTTTGTGTATGTCTGTTCGGGCGGAATTTCGTAATCGATTTTAAGCTAACTTCCCGACTAGCTACTGACTTCAAATTTGGCACATTGTTCAGAATTGGATGACAATGCATGAAAATGAAGAGATTGAAGCGATACAAAGTAAAGTAAAATTAAAATTAAAGAAAAATTAATATTTTCGCGATTGTTTTTTGTTGTCAATTTGATTATTTCAAATTAGTGTCACATGTCAGTTGAAAAGTTTTGTGTACAGTGAGTAAAAAAAATTGAGATTTCAGAAGTGAGTACAAAAAAAANATTAATATTTTCGCGATTGTTTTTCGTTGTCAATTCGATTATTTCAAATTAGTGTCACATGTCAGTTGAAAAGTTTTGTATACAGTGAGTGAAAAAAATTGAGATTTCAGAAGTGAGTACAAAAAAAAAAATCAAAATAAAAAGTAATATTTTTAAAAACAACAATTTTGTAGTGGAAAATAATTAAAAAACAAAAATTTGAAAAACGAAAAACGTGGTGCGCATGAAATACTCATACACATGAACAGCCACATCCACACATATGTACTGTTATGTATTTCACGCTCCTCACGTTTTTTGTTTAAATTATTATTCTCCATTACAAAAACGTGGTTTTTAAAAATATTACTTCTTATTTTTTTTTTTTTTAAGTATTGTTATTCCATTTTAACATTAAATATGTATATTTGCTTACTATGACAAGTTCAAAGTAATGACAATTTCATCTATTATGAATAGTTGTTAAGATAGTCTTTTACTTCATATAACTAAAATGTATATGTTATTCATATAACATATCAATTTCACTGAATTTTTCCAATGCAACAAATTATATATATACTACCTTTAATATGTTCTGTCGCATGGATGGTAAAATATTTTCTGGTAAACCCAAGAGTAGATTTGTTATTCTAAATAAAAACGAAAAGTCAAAAATTGCAATCACTGAGCTTGATTTAAAATAACAATAATCTAAAAAAGAAAGAAAACTAATAACATAAGAATACAAACAATTACCTAATCTTGTTATCTTCCACAGAGTCTTTATTACATATTTTTGGTCCAGGAGAATCAAAATGAGCAAATGACTAAATAAAAAACTAATATGAATTATCGGATTATGTAATAGAATTTAAAGAATACAGTAAAGAGCAATACAGCAGAACTTTGATTTTGTGAACTTTTTTTATTCAAATTCTTCTGTAAATCAAAGTAAAATTCTAGGCTTTCCTTTATTAACTCTCGATAGCTACCCATGAGTCAAAATTACCCGAGTATACGATACAATGGGGTGGGTAGCTAATAAGTGCAAAGTATGATTATCCATAAAAAAAATTCAGCGTACATTTCATCTTAGATAATTTGATAAATTATAAAATTCTACCCTCAATTTTGAAATAATATTAATACATTCTGAATACATTAATACTATTCTGAATAATAAATCCAAATGCAGTGCAACCATTGATGTCCTCATAGTTTCAAAAAAGGCAATTTTAAGAATAGTTCTGGTTGGATGATTCGTTTTAATTTTATTTTATTTGTTTTAATTAATATAAAAAATATATTTGGATTTTTGAGTATAAAAAAAAACAGTTTAAAAATACTAAATTGTTGATAAAAGTTATAAATAAACAAAAATGATTGTCAGTAAAATAAGAAATAAGATTATAATAATCAAAATTATACCTCATCTAAATTTGTGGAGTGTGTTTGGGAATCATTTAACCATTTAAAAATGAATTTCAAAACTACATCATTAAAATTCATGTTAACAAGAGTGCATATTTCAATAGCAGCTTTGCAAACTGAAACAAAAAGAAAATATATACAGTATCTAATTAAAATATAAAAAAAATGATTTGTCATGCAATTGATATCCAAAATTACAGAAGATATGTAACATAAAGCCTCTTATACCAATTTTTTTATTATTTTAAACATCAAAGATACGAATTTAAAGATTGTTTTAATACATGTTCATGTAAATAATTTGTTGCAGTTTTAATATTTTCAAATTAGATAAAACTCAAATTTGTAGATCAGAAATTTAAACAACAAAAATGACAAGAACATTACTGCTTACAACAGATATTTCAATAACAATAAAAAATAATAAGTGAAATAAAAATGAAATTTTTAGCCTCAGCATGCTTTAATTTAATCAGCAAAAAAATCATGTTATAAACTAAAAAAATTACATATTCCCCTTCAAAATGTGGGATTTTGCATGCGTTTAGTACATAAATCAACTTTTCAATTCTGACTTATAGAAAAACCAATTTTTAATCAATTGAAATCATACTGTAAAGCAGGGGTCCCCAACCTTTTTGTACCTAAGAGCAAGTACCATTATATTGGCTGAATGGCGGGCACCATTTATTTTTTCAAGATAAATTTATAGTTAGTTGACATAGGTAATATGACGCACTACATAAGGGCCATTTAGACCTCAGATGCCCAGTTCTACAGCAACGATCGATGAACGACGCACTACATATAATGCACAAAAAATTTAACTTTAAAAATTAATTCAACATATGAATATAATTAGTATTAATATTCTTGTGCAAAATAAATGATTACTAAATGGTTGCAAAACATACGAAATATAAAAATTATTTATAAACATATAAAATAAAGTCAGTGTGATCTTTGGCATTGTATTTCACTGGCAAGCGCTTCATTACTGGGAGAAAATGATGAAATAAATGCTTTGTGCTTATATCTGGGGGATGGAGGTCGTTTTCCTGGCGATTTCTATTTTGGATGTGTTTATCACCAATATTGAAAAAGCAAAACAAAAAATTTGCTTAGCATTTTAGGGGAAAATGGAAAACTGAAATATTTTATCATTGGGCACAAGCAGCGGGCGCACCTAGACCGATCGACGGGCGCCATGGTGCCCGCGGGCATAGGGTTGAAGACCTCTGCTGTAAAGTGTCTAAAGTTGACACATTAAAACATTTAAAATTTCTCAATCTATTTCTATATCCAACTCAAAATATTTATGGTATATAGTAAAAAGTTCTATATTATATGTAAAGCCTTTAATGGTGTAATAATAATTTTCATGGTTGTGTAACTTTGTTCGAGCTTATATTTATCTTACAAATCGAGTAAATTTTTTTAGCTAATAATATAAGTTTAAAATTATAAATTAATTATTAAAAGCATAAATATGTAAACATTAAAAAGCATAAATATGTAAACATTAAAAAGCATAAATATGTTAACATTAAAAAATATTAATAAAACTTAAAAACATAAAACTTATATAAGTTAACTTTCATTATAATTATATTTGTATTGTCTCTTATATTTGTATTTATCTTGCAAACCAGGTAAAATTTCTTAAGCTAAGCAACTTTTATCGTTTTAAGGAAAAACAAAATTTTAGTCAAGATATATGACTGAAGTACAAGTTGAGTCTCTAACTCTCATTATGATTTAATAGTCCAAAAAGTCAACTTATACAACAAGAAAATATGTTACATAAATAAAGTGATCTTACTTTTTGTACTATCATCAAGATTGAATGTGTAGTTTTCAATTAAATGCTCAACCAAAAGAGCTGGTGTATGAGTGAGTGGCAAATTTTTTTCTAATGGTAAATTGTTTTTGTATAGAATTCTCTCAATCTCTGAAGATTGCAGCAGTGATGATAATCTCTTCACTAATTCTTCTACACTTCCTGTGCCTTGTGACTCTGTATACCATTTTTGAGCAAATTTTACAGCAAGTTTTGCAAAAATTACTTTATTTCCACCTATTTGAAAAGTTAAAAAATTCAAATATTAAAAAATGCTAAGAAGTCAAGGCAAATATTTAAAAAGATTCATAGCAAGATTTTAACTAGAAAATGGGATTTTCTGAAAATGTTATGTTATCTCATTTGTTTTACAACACCCCCACCCCCAAAAAAAAGAAGAAAGAAAAAAATTCAACTTATATAAAAGAGTTTTAAGAATAGAATTGATTTTCAAAACCGAACCCAAGCCTAATCAGAAAAAAATATATTACTACCAAGTAGCAAATAACACAAGGGTAATGATTTAATGTTATGCCTAATGTTATGGCTTCCAAAATTCACTCAACAAATTCAGAAGAGTGATGGAAAAAAACATCAAGAAGAAATTATTCAGATTTTGACGTCATGAAAAAAATACTGTAAAATTATCACAAGATTTGTTCAAAGTTAAGACTAATAAGATTGTCACACAAAGAAAAACGAATCCTGGATACACTTGAACACATGAGGTTTGCTTTTGATATCTGCCGAAGCAATGACAATCCAGGCTAAGAAACGCTCCAATGAGTTCAATCACAGCTTGCTGAATTTTTTTTTATTTTCAACCAATTAGTAAAATTAGTCAATTAGTCAATTAATCAAATTTAAAATCAAAATAATTTTGTTGCTTGTTTAAATAATGGGTATGAATTAATAAATAATTACTGTCAGAAGATTAATAATTAATTGTTATGGATATAGACATATATCAGCCAATTAAATAAGCAAATTAAAGAATTAGTTACCTAAAAGTTTTCTCTATGATTGAGTTGTTTTGCAACCAGTTTGGGCATAAATTTTTTATTAATGCATTATCCGAAATAAATTTAGTGGTAGGGGTACAAAACATCTCAGAGGCTATTGATTATTTAAAATTATTTGCCTTTGCTTATTTTACTTTATATAGTAATCATTAAGTATCACCTGCTTACAAAAAATGTAAATATTTAACATATTCAAAAAATTTTCAGTTTCATCTAAACATATTTCCTAAATTGTAATACAGTACAGAACCCGTTATCCGGAAACCGGAAAACCAAAAAACCGGAATAGCGATTGTCCCGACCGTTCCAGATAATCGGTTCCCTGTTGTAGCTTGATTAGTTACTTTTAAAAAATATGTTGCTCAAATAGTTTTTTTTATTTTTTTTATTGAAGTACTCAAGCCTTCAGTTTAAATAAGGTTTTGAAAAAAAATTCTGATTCTAAAGCTTTTCAATTAAAATAGACAAATCCTTAACATAAATGACTTTTAAGAAATATGCTGATACAAGAATTTTTAAATCGATGTCTGTTTAATAAAATTATGATTTCAAATTGCTAGTTACAAGTTCTTTAAATGTTATAAACATTTCTAATAAAACAAGTAGATATTAAAATTAATGACAATGAAGTTATTCTTATCATATATTTTTACCATCGTTTACTAAATGATACAAAACACATTTTTAAATAGAATTGAATTAAATTTTCTGAACACATTACATTAAAATTTTCAAATACTGCCACTCCTGAATTTCCTATACCAATATCCTCATCCTCAATTAAACAAATATGGAGATATAAAAATATAGATTCGTCCAAAACAATCAAATCAATGTCAATTAACAAGTACAGTATAAAAGTGCTTTTATAACAGCTACTTTAAACTAAAAAATTGTGAAAAAGACTTAAGACAATGTACCAGAAGGCATTTTGTTCATAATCCATGTTGCACATCCAACAGCTGTTTCAGATTTATTTATCATTTCCAGCATCTTATTGACAGAGCAAACAAAGTTGTTATCATGATTCGGCGCAATGATCTTGGCTGAATATTGATCCAAATATTTGGATACTTGATTTTTTAATGCAACAACCACCAAGTGATCAGTGGAGAGCTAGAAAATAAATATTTTTGCTTGTAAAAATATACTGAATCATCTAAAAGGTGAAAACATTTTAGATATACAAAAATTTAAAACAAATAGAGATCAAGGATTTCACTTAGTTAAAGTTTTAATTTCAACTTTTGCATGAGAGGTTCTTCCCCAAAAGTACATTTTTGTATTTAGAAAGAAATGTATTTAGAAGAAAACAAAGAATAAATTTTGTATTAGAAAGAAATTAAAGAAAACATGATAATAATTTACATTAGGGGTGCACAACCTGCGGCCCTTCGACTACTGAAGTGCGGCCCGCGAGAGCTTCTGAACACAATAATAAAATTTTAAAAAATGGCAATTTTTTATCGCTCTTTTNTCATAGAGCATGCTTATATCTGAAACTCCAGTTAAAACGGATAAAAATATACTATATCACATACATACTGTTGACACCTGAATATATTTGACCTTTGTCATCCTGATGAAAACAGACATTATAATGCAAGGTTGTTATTTAGTAAGAAATTGTGTGTAAGCATAGAAAAATGCCAAACACATTTACTCAAGGCTAAAAAATACTAGACCAATTTTTAAAACACAATACTTTACTTAAGTAAAAATTAGATAATTACGCTTTATAAAAAAATATAACCCTTGTACCCTCAAATATGTTCCCTTTATAAAAGCATAATGCCCATAAACAATTTAATCTAAGTGTAAGAAAAATATTGCAGAATAAAGTAAATAATTGTAGCTATTTATAGGGGAAAAGTGCCATGCCAATCAGTGAAGCCATTTAAAAAGTTCAATCATTAACAATGGACTTGCATTTCCATATCTATTTGATATTGTGTTCATGCTATTTCTTACAGGATATTGGCGGATAGCCAGATGTTTATGGAATCAAGGGTCTACCACAGAATTTACATTAAGGTGAGCTTTAGTCCGTGGGCTGAAGACTGAAATGCAGTTCTAAACTGATTTTCGTTCCTACACTCGAGTGGCAATTTTAATCTTCCAAAATAGAACTCAATCTTGCCTGGGAAATATAAATTCACGAAGTTCTCCAAAATATAATAGGCCATTAATTGACAGTTACCAAAATATTGAAGAACTATTTTAATTTCATGAATACAGAATTTTGCCCATGAATATCCAAAGTGGAGGGTACTGTGACGTCACATGAAAATGAATTGACCAAGCACAACCAAAAAGCTTTGCGATTTGCGTCTGCTCTAGTTCTTGTCTCCTTTGCTTCAAACTGCTTTACAATTTTTGTATAAACGTTATAAACGTTTAATAAAATTATAATTTCATTTTGAGAGGACATGATACTTCATCGAAATTTATTTTTAAGTTTTTTTTCTTTAATTATTTTGTATAAGCATTTAAAATAAGAATTATATAAAAAATATAAATTTACCCACTGCATAAAAATTAATTTTCGATAAATTTTTAAAATTTTTATGAACTGTTGCTCCATTGAGAATAATCTGAATATTTTCTATAAAAATCTGGAAATATTTACTTCTTTTTAAACACTGTAAAATGGTTATTATACTTAAAAATATAACTCACATTCTGGTATGCAAAGTATACTTTTGTAATAAATGGACTTTTAAAAAAATTCCATTTCATATAAAAATTACATTTGCAATGACCTATAATAAATTTAATTTTATATATGTTGTTTAACATTCTATTTGTTAAACACAATTAAAACAAGATCAATGTCATCTGCACACACTAAACATCTTTTGTTGCATAATTTATTTGAGCAATTTAGCTAGGTTTTGTTTGCCCTTCTTTTATTATTTTATTAATTTAGTAAAATATTAATTTGTAAAAAATAAAGACAAATTAAAAAAAATATGTTGAGCTTATTGAAGGTAATGTAAGATAAAAAAATGTTTCAATGTGTTATTTCAAGTAGCTTTTGCACAAAATAAACACACATATGTATATAAAAAAGACAAACAGAATGTCCCCAAAAAGCCTTGGACAAGTATTGTTTTATAAATTTTTATTAAGCAAAATAAAATATAATTCCAGATGCTTGTACATCTATATATTTCTAAGTGTATTTATGATTTGAAATTTAGCTATTTAGATGTAGAACCATTCAGCAGTATTTTGTACAAACAGTGCACTTTACAAAATTCATTGATCACACGCTCTGTTTTAATGCATACGCTACATAAAATCTTATAAATTTCATTTCTATTTTTTTTTATTTTAATNACACTTATTTTGTCCATATACAGAACAAGTAAAGGATTCTAACTGCTCAACCAATGGTCTGGATAAATTCCAATCTATTCCAAGCTTTACGAATGCCGATATAAATAAGCTTGAGCTTGACATTATTTTCAATGATTTGACTTTACTCTTACCTTTAAATGAACTTACAGAGTCACATCCAGTAAAAACGTGCAAACCTATTAAGGCTTGTGATACATCACTTCCCAATGCCTTGAATATAGAGTTGATATCAAATATTTTAATATTTTGAGAAGTACCATGGATATATAACAAAGAAGTATTAATTTTATGGATCAAAGATACAGATAAGACAAGTACATCAGTATCAGGACTCTTGATGAAAACTTTATCATAAAAAAGTGCTGCATGTCCAACATGAAGGAACATTCTTGAATCAGCTTCTTCATGATCACATTCAAGTTCTATAATATTCTCAACAGTAAGTTCATTTGAATTAATAAACAACTTATGACAAATGTTTTCATGTGTGACATAAATTTCAATATTTTCAAAAAGGCAAGGGCTTAATTTTTTCCAAAAATTAAAACAAAAATCAATAAGTTCTTCTTTGTTTTTGCCAGATGCAAGGAATTTCTGAAATTGTTTAGGCATTTTTTGTTTTGCTTGATATATTTGAACTAATTGAACTCCAGCAATGCTTCTTCTCTTTCGTTCGGCAGATTTGATGCTCAATTCATTATACCTGTCAGATACGAAGTCAACACGGGAGCAGTTATAGTTTTTTGCCAGCTTAATTAAAGATTGCAAAATTCTCCAAAAGTGGCAAATGAATTTGTTGCTTGTTGAATAAAAGCCATTGCATCAACAACAATGCCTTTGATGTGTTTTGATATTTGTTAAAATCTATAATAATGCTATCCGAACAATTTTCTAAATAATGAAGCAAAGTTGCTTTGTTTGTTCTCGATTTGCTGCCATCATAATTTGCAAGGGCAAGAGGTAAATTACTCAAACTATACTTCAATAATTCTTCTAAATCTAGATTTTGAACTTTAGAAATCATTAACATTCTTCTAAATAAATTTCTATCACTTTTTAATGCTATTGTTTCTGCTTTTAATTGTATAGTACTTATTTTACCAACATCTGAAAAGGTTTTTAATTTCGAACATTTGATAGGTGTGAAAAAATCAAGATTCTCTTGCACCAATCTTTCTTTTAAAAAAGAATTTAAAGCTATGTTTCCAAGTGCTGCAGCGTGCTTCAGGTCAAGACATACATCTTCTGGAGCAACGCTACCAGTAACAATATTTAATAATGCATCGTTAGTATCTTTAAAAGGATTTTGCATGGATAAGATTGTATCACAAATTGCAATGACATGTTTCTCATCTTGTTTGATTCGAGTTGAATCCAACTCCTTTTTTAAGCAATTGCAATTTTGCTTTCCTGCCATTATGTTACACTGATGTGAGATGGCTGCTCTTGAATGGTGGGATAAAATCCATCTATGCACTGCACCTTTATTAACTGATATTCCTGTTAATCCACCTTTGGTTTTGGAATCTCTATTACATGTTTGTTCAATGACTTGATCACAAGGTGTCCTTGAAAATAAATGCCTCTCTTGTTGCTGAACTGAAAATTTTCCAGTTTTGAATTCGTTGTAGATTGCCGGATTTGAGATTTTTAAATTTTGCATCTCACACCAATAAATACTCAAATATCTTGAATAATTAACTCTATCATATGCAAAAAAATATGGAAGCATCGATTGCACAGCAGATAAATGCAGTTCCCAATCGCCTTGCCTAGTCGCTCTAACAAACAAAAGTAGCAATTCCACCATCACAATGTAAGAACTCCAGAACTCATAGGTGAGGTCTTCACCACATTTCAAAGCTATGTATTCATTATACATTTTACGTATTTTTTCAATTTCACAGTTATGAATTAAATTATCCAAGGAATCATGAGGATATTCTTTACAAAAATGCTCAATTACACGTTCAACTTCATTAAAATCAATCTTCTCTTCACACAGAAAAACTTCAAAGCGTATTCTTTGTAATGCTTCACATAAAAGTTTATGAGCACGAATACTCCTATTGTAATGATGCCCATTTAAAACACGGCCTATAGAGCTTTGAGCAACAATACCCGATTCAATTAAAATGTCTTGCAAGCCCCCATCAGCAAATCTTTTTCCAATAACTGCTAAAAATGCCATACAAGTATGAAACTCTCCGAGTCGAATTATGAGCCTATCATTAAACTCATTATTTTGCCACCTGATCTGCTGAGCTTTTGCATAGATAGCTTGATCTAACACTAGAACGATATTCTCAAGTTCAAGTTTATTTGCTATTTCAATACTTCGATGCAAAAGAGTATTGACAGTGGACATTTCTGTCGGGTTTGCATCTAATATTGGGAGATAACCAACTTTTGTTTTATCTAAATTCTCAGTAGATCTTGCCATTTGACTGTTGAAACCAGTTCAACCAGGAAGAAGGTTTTTTGAAACATATTTACATAAGAAAAATAGATCATCAATGTCTCTAGCTTCTTTTTGTAAAAGTAAATTTCTTTCGTGATTAATTGAGGGTATTTCAGCATAAGAAGGAGGTTTAGGCTTTTTTTCCCCTTTGAAATGATGTCAGGTAAATTCACATTTAGCGTACGCTTTCTTGATTTTTTAAGAATTGGAAGTGCCATACTATTAATTGTTTCCGACTGATGTGATCTGATGTCCCACTGTAAAATTATACCATTTGTATTATGAGTAGTATCCTGTCAATGTCTCTTCACCAAAGTCATTATTGTCCCAAGCTAATGTTGTGAAACGACCCTTTTCAAAACCTTCTGGATAGATACGATTATTATTTAACTGCTGCATGGCTAAAGCAGTATCATGCTGCAATACTGTCGTGTGGGAAACACAGTGTCCTAATCCATTAAGTAAGCCTATTAAATTTGAGGATCCTGAAATATGACGAATCGTCATGCCTAATGCTAAATGCTTGGGTGTTTGTTTCCTTCCATTTGAAGCTAAATACATGATATCTTGTGCTATTGAAAGAATTTTTAGTTTTACATCAAATGGGACATCTATGGTCTTTTCTATAGTTTCTTCTTCAGATACTCCAATCATCCATGCTAAAAAATTGAAAAGTTCAACTGGAACTATATCAGAGGCAGCATCAACAGTCAAATCACATCCATTTGGAGGCCACGCAAAAACAGTTGGAGTAGATTCAGTTACGATATTTTTTAAAGCAAGTGCAGAAGAATATAAATTTCTCAAAATATCAGAGGAAGAAGGTTTATAAGAATTATAAGTAAAAGAATCATCTGTAACACTATCACTATCAGTTGAACCACAGAACTGATCCAATTTCAATACTCTTGATGAAGATGAAGAGCAGATCACAAGTTCACATAAATTTTTAGAATTTTGTTTCACAAAATCAAGTTGTGGAAACTTCTTTTTAAGTCTTCTTTTCAAAAAATCATTGCGATATCCACTAATATCCTCATTCTCATGTTGTACAACAGTTTGAACAATTAAATTAGTCAATTTGTTCATCTCATAAATTTTATGTTTTTTAATGAGTTTGGCCTCAATGACATCAGTACAAAAGATACTGACAGATTTTTCATACTTAATGTCAACTTCATAAGTAGAAATTTTCTTGGTACTTAGAAATTTGGTATAATTTTTGAAGCATGATCTGTGGTAGTGCATTTCAATAGCAACAAGGTCCTTGTTTTGGATGTGCAACAAAATATTTTCATCATTTTTTTGTATAGCTGCTTGCAACAAGCTGTTATTTTTCGTTTCACAACGACTTAAAGATTCAACTTTCTTTTTTCCTGAATGCTTTTCTTTAATCTTTTTTACTGATCTACAGATAATGCACACCTTAGGAAGAACAGAAGTGCGACAAGAAGTTTTCAAACAGGGATCTGTTTCACACGCTTAGATGACATAGCCGTTGATTCTTCAGAATTTTCAGGAATAAATGGTTTTAAGACATCGTTTCTCTGCCTTAGAAATTCTAGTCTTATCTGTAAATTTTTGATAGCATTTTTTATGGTATCCTTCATTGTCAGCTGGTAACTGAGATAGTTCATCAACAGATATATCAAATAGTTTCTGGCTTATATGGTATTCTGCACATTCTTTTAATTGAGTCCATTTTACCATACATTCTTTGGTTTTTTGCCAGTCTTTTAGGGAAAAGGGAGAAACAATATCGGTGATAACCTCTCCTGAATGCAAGCAACAATTTCGAATTTTCGACATTGTGATTGTTTAGTTGGAACTAAACAATTCCAATTTCGAAAAGAAAATCAAAAATTTTCCAAGAAAAAGTAAAATAAATGATTTATCATATAGTTGGCTCTTAAAAGAGCCGTTTTTTTTTAAAATAAAATTAAAATATGTTTTAAGAGTTGAAAAGGAAATTGATTAAGTTAGCGTGTGCAAAGCAACATCTAAAAGGGTTTGTTTACAAACATTGCAGTTAGCGGTTAAGAGAAGAAAGAATCTGTGAATGTGTGTGATTGGTTGATTTGGAGGAGAAAAAATAACTCGTTGATTTTATTGGATGGGCGTAGGAAAGCGTAGAGAAAAAGAGTGCGAAAGGTAATCTATTGTTATTAAATTATGATCGAATAATTTTTGGAGAACTTCATAAAATTAAAAATATTAAAACATTTCTAATAATTTGGTAAAAAGAAAAAAATGCCCCCCGAGCATCGGAACAAACTTGAACGATTAATGCACTTGGCCCACGAACTACTACTGAACAGCAATTTCTGAGCAATGGGTGCCCATTGTAAACAGGAATTTCGCTTCAAGTTGTATTCTTTTTCATTTCTAGCTAGCAATAATTTTCATCACTTAACTTATTTTTCCTCTGCCCATCGTATTCAGGTAATTTTAAAAGAACAATTTTTCAACCATAGATACAATTTGACAGTTCAATTCCTCCTACTACAGATAGCCCGCATCTTTCATAGGTGGTCAGCATGAATCTTATTTCAACATCCACAAAGGGTGGTCATTCCTGATGTGCCATCCTTCAGTTTTCATTTTATGCAATTAAAATAAATGTGAAAAAGATGTAATCTGTGCATGCATCAAACCAACATTTGTTGACCAACTATCATTTTTTCTTTCTTTAAATTCAAGACACGATGTAAATGTCTGAAGGAAAGACTCAGCAAATAAATAATTTAATTACGAGTGATACTGTGAAACACTGATAAAACACTCTGACTCCAGAAAGCCCCTGCTCCCAGTAGTTTCACACAAAAAATGATTACCAATCAGTACTAAAAAATGCCCCCTTCCCTACAACACAATTTATAAGTTTTTATTTTAAGAATTTCTTTATGAATTTATTTCTAAAAAATGGTTATCCTGATGTTTAGGTAGGTAGAGGATTAATGTTTGATTGTAAATGAATAATGAGTGGGGGAAAAAGGAATAATCAATCACAGTCACTGAATTGAAGATTGCTGCTAACAAAAGTGCAAGTGTTTGTTAAGTGCAGTGGGAAGCAATCCTTTGCACATGCAGTCAACATTTCCTCCCAGTTGCATATAGGTCAAGGTCGTGCTAGAGAGGGGGAAATTTTAGGGATCTGATTAACGTAACAAAATAAATTATCTTTCTTTTTATGAAATATTTTATCATCCATACTTTTTATTTTCTCACCTTTTTGCATGTGCCCCAATTGTACCAAGATTTAAAAATAAAAGATCACTGTAAAGATAAGTTAGATTTACTAATTAAAGTTCACTTTCTTTTGTTAGGATTATTTTTACAGTATATTTTGTGATCCATACTTAATGCCACTTAATAGTGCTTAGCATTTTCGTCAGTACCGCTTATTTGCGTCCCTCGATGATTTTTGTCAAAAATTAGAGGGGGGTTTCGCTTTATCTGTATTTTAACAGAAGTCGAAACTTTTTTATGTTCAATTAATTATAAATTTACGGTAAATGAAGATTAAAAAAGCCATGCAAAAATTAGCTACACTAAATGATTGTGGAAAAACACAGGTCAATAGCATTTAAATAAAAACTTATAATTATTAAATCAGTATTTTAGTGGATTAAACCTACTATTTGTGCTTTTTAAAAAAATGAAAAAAATCACTCAGAATATTCTTCACCTCTTAACAAAGATCAAACAGGAGCAGTCCCATAAATTAAATCATCAAGCCATTTAATATCAGCTAACCATTAAATTTAGGTTTGCAAATAATTCTTTGAAAAATAAGAAATGAAACAAAATAAGTTCATTATTCGCTTATACCTGTAGAATCGGAGCAATTTCAAGCCACAATTTTAAAGTATTCGATGTAACTTCCGGATCTGTAAACAAAATTTAAAATCAATATATTGATAAAAACTTAATCAAGTATACACTTTTGAATTGCACAATACCATTTTTGCCTCTATTCAATTTTGAAAAAAAAAATCTAGTAAAAAATTAATAATTATTTTAACAAAAATATTCATTCTATTTTCCTTTTTTTTTACATTGTTATCTTTGAATTTTTATTGGCAGAAAATTTTTTTAAATAATTTCAAGTCACACAAAAATAAAAGTAAAAAACATGTATATTCTTTTAGAGCTTCTTAACCATGTAAAGTTAATAATCATATTAGGTTGGTGATAAAATGTCTCCCATTTAAAAAAATCTTTAAAAAAAACTCACTGAATGCAATTTATTTAGAAATTTTGCCTTCGTAATAAAGTAACAATAACATGTAACAAACTTTTAAAAAATAATTTAAACTTTTCATGTTTTTTAAAATTTTTTACTGTACATGCGTAAAAAAAGAAGTAAAGCAAAATTTAATACTTTGATAGCAAAACTTCAAACTAAATCTCTTAAATTCTCAATTTGTAACTGTATTAGCAATAACATCAAGAATAACTTAAAACATGCTACAATTTAAAAACTGATACTTTTTAAACATTTAACTTTATAAAATTAAAGCAGTGAATAAAAAAGTATAGGTAATTATGAATTTTTTATAGCAGAAAAAATTAAAAACATAAATAATACCTACTGATGATTTTAAATGGGTTTTCAGAGGCAAATATGTTGAATGATAAACGAGTATTCGCTATGTCAGGTAAGTTAGTATCCTGAAATACATAATCAAATAATATGTTTAAAGAATATCAATAAATTTCAAAAAGTTACTGAAATTTAATATTTAAACATATATTTACCATTGGGTGAGTGGAACGCCAATATTCAATCTCCTCATTAGTTGGAGAATATATTCTTTTGTACACTTTCAAAAACTTCAAAAGATCAATATTCTAAAAGAAAAAATAAAAGCTCTTTTATAACAAGGTTGGTTGAATAATCAGATTAACAATCAGATAATCTATAAATCATATTTTAAAAACAAAACTTAAAATTTGATAACTCTGAAACTAGTTGACCAATTTCTTTCAAATTTTGTTCATTTTATTTAAAATTTCAATCTTCAAAATAATGTAGAAATTTGTATACATTATAATTCTAAAAATTTTAATGCATTACAAGGGTTGAAAACATTTTATGTTTTCAGTAAATAAAATAAATAATTAAAACCTATTTTTACACTAAATTTTCTTTGGATATGAATTTATAATTGCATGAAAAAACAACTTTTGATTTGCCAAAAAAATTTCTGAGATATGATGAAATAGGCTAAATGTGAAATCAACATTAAGGGATGCAAACTTTCAACCAATTTCCTGACTAAACTATTGGGACCATATTTCGAAGTCAGAAATCCAAATCCTTCGGAAGATATATTAAGAGAATATACATTTTGATTTCTGTTTCTATACATATACTTCTATTCTGCAATAATTAGCACTAATTAATTGACGTATTTCAGGTCACTTCTTTAAACCATCATGATTGGCACTTAGTTCATGAAAATCAGATTATTTGAGCAAAAGTATTTCGGGTACCATTTGCATACTGCATAACTCTAACTAAAATGTTACTTTATATGTTCTCAACCTTAATTTTAACTCAAAGAAATATTAAAGAATTAAATTATTTATATAAACAATTTATATAATTTTAATATAAATAAGTAAGCATATTTGCCGTATATTATGCTCAAATTAACCATTTTGTAAACAAAACTTATTTTTAGAATATCATTAACTGTTTGTATTCCTCATAAAAAAATATATTATTAATCAACATAAAAAATACATATATTACTAAAACGCAAGATATTATTTTTAAGAAAAATTGGATCAATGCAATTTATTTACTGAAGCTAATAGGTTCATTTTTAAATAAATTGGATTAATGTAAAAAAAGAAAGTTTAAACAAAATATCAATGAAATTTTAATAGAATGTTAAGCAACAAATTATTATTTTGAATAAAAAAAGGATATTTCATCTGAAATTGATATTTAAATTAATATTGATATTTCATCTGAATAAACAATTAATTTCCACACAAAAAAATTAGATTTTAAAATTTAAACTAAATTAGCACACTTAGTAATATTTTGTAACATACCTGTTTCAAATCTCAGTTTTAAGAAAATTTAAATATTTTAATTACATTCTTGGTAGCCATTTTAGGTTTCGTCCATTTCATCATAATATTTTCTACTGTCTTGGGAGAAAAATATTTCTTCAGAAAAATGCCCAACCCAGAGTTTAAACGACTTCATTTAAATGTCCGCAAGATGTTAAACTATACAAACCCTTTTTAAACCACACAAACCTTTTCATGTAATAATGTTTTTAAAAATATAGACCTTCTGATGTGTTAATAGATTGTGAAATATTTCTTTTCCAGTTGTGAAATATTTCTATTAATATTTTAAATTACTAATTTATTTGTGTAAATTAAAGAAGTCTAAAATATCAAACTCAATAGAGATATTCTTTTCCCCCGAGTTCTTACTTTTTCAATGAGAAAAAAATTTACCTGAAATTCTCATTTAAAAGAAATTTAAAACTGAATTAAGCAATTAATATTTATTTCATTTGACTTTTTCTAAATCTTTTATATTTTATAAATTTGATAATTATGATTTAAAAAAATATTAAATGAATTTTTTTAAAGAAATGTTTTTAAAAAATACAGTTTTAGAAAAATTTAAACAATTTAGAGTCATAATTGAGCTTTAAATGAAATTTACAGAAAAATAGGAAGAAATTGAAATTATTTGAAAACAAATCAGTTAAAATAACTGTATTGAAAATAAAATGACGAAGTTATGCTATAATATCTATTATACTAATTTTGTAAGCTTTACAGACTGTTTTAAGTAATAGATTAAAGATTTTCAATAAAGCAATGTCACACACAATAAAAAAGTTACAATGCTTTCCAAACAAAACTTAAAATTATATTTGTGATAAGAGTTGTAAGGTTGGAAGTAAATTTTTTAATAATGGTTGCAATGTTTTCTTTTTATCATTATTTAAATTTTAAAAAAAAAAAAATTCTAGAAAAAAAAATACATTTATGGTTTTTTTCTCCAGTCTTGATGTCTAATGCAAACGTCTAAATATACATATAAATTAAATAATGGATATTTTTTAATGCTAAAAACATTCTAATCACATACCTTTTGATGGATTACAGGATTTAGTGTTTGTACATTGGCTTCAATTGTCGATAATTGCTCTTCGATGAAAATTAGAATCTCATAACTGTAAGGACCAATCTATGGGGGGTATAAAATAACATTAGAATAATCAAGTTTTGAAAGAAAATATTTCTAAAACTAAACAGAAAAGAAATAAAATGTAAATCAATTTAAACCACTAATATCAGTAGTTGTCAATCTTATTCCTACTATCCACAAAAGGATAGTTCAACTTTCATAAAGGGTAGTTGGTGTTTTTTCTAATAATGAAATTTCCTTTTTAAATACTTAATTGATTTCTTAAAAAACATTGAAATGGTTCTAAGTCAGTTCAAATGTTAAGTTAATGGACAAAAAATAAATAATACAATCCCACTTTGACTAAAAAGTATTTAAATAGAAATTTTTTAAAGTATTCCTTAAAAATATAATTTTTTTTAAAGTATTCTTTAAAAAAAATTCATACCATTATAAAAAAAATAAATCATTTTCATAAAATTCTTCACTATTTATGCTTTACAATGAGTAACAAATCAAAATATAAAAAATGCGATTCTGTTATTTAGAATTCAAGTAGATACATCATTAGAATGAAGTTGCATTATCATGAATAAAATAAAAGAGTAGCAAACAATTAGCATTGCCATTAACAAGGCTTGAAAATAAGATTACCCAACATACCATTTTGATAACAAAATATTATTAAATTTTATAAATATTACTTAAAAAGTTTATTATTTTTCATTCTTCTAGAGAAAAAAAAAAGGTTAAAGGTTGTGCTAAATAAACCCTTGTCAGTAATGCCTAATACTTATTTGTTACTTATATATTAAACTTCTGATTTATATTGAAAAATGAAGTGTTGATGTAAATAAAAATATAATGTTGTTAATATCATATCAAACCTTAGGATATTCAAAAATTGTTTCAAAACAAAGAATTGCTAATTGGTATTAATATTGCTCACAATATTTATTTAAAAACTTATGTACCCAAAATTTGATTTAAAAAAACAATTAAAAAAATTAATTAATGAGAATGATTGCCCTCATTAATTGAATATGTTCTACAAATTCAGTGTGCCAATATTTAGCAGAAAATAAAATATTAAGGAAAGAAAACAATAAAAATTAAAAAGATTGGGATAAATACAGTGTAAATAATTAAAAATTACATTTTGCTCTTCTTGGCTAATTTTATTTCTTAAGTGCATTGTTAGTTTATTTTTTTCATTTTGCTTATTTTCAAATATTCAAAAAGTATTATTCAGTCTTTTATTTATCATATTATGAACAACCATTTTTTTTCCTCTTTTTATCTTATTGTGTATTTTTTTAATAGGTCATTATGATACTTTTTTCTCATGTTTTTAAACAGAATTGTTTTCTCGTGAAAATACATTAATGCAATTGTAAACAGAAGCTTAAAGAAGCCAGAATATTTGCTACCCTGGAATTTTCTAATCGCTACCGATTATGAATAGAAGATCTGTTATTGCAATATGATTTTGTTTTTATTAGTCATAATGAGTGAAAGTATAAATGAGGTATAAATGCGTGACAGTCACATCAAATACAAATTCATATCTTTGACAAAAAAACAATACATTTCAATTAGGAATTATAAAAAATGACTATCTTATTTACCTTTTTTTTCAGATTCATGAAATTGGTTAACAAAGTTTCTTCATTTTCAATACCCCAAATTATTGCTTCAATTTTTTTCAATGCTACAAATATTTCATCATCTGACCTCATTTGATTGCTTATTAACTGCTTTTCCAGCTCAAGTAGTTTATGATTCAGATATATAACAGCAACATAATCGAAGGGTAGTTGAAATGCATCACAGCACTCATGGACAGTTTGTAGATCAGTAGATGGTGACAAAACAATTTCTTTCACAACAGCCCAACGTTCCTCTAAATTGGAGTCACTTGACACTAACTAAAATCATACAAATTGCTCATCAGTAAAATAAAATACAGGGTGATTCTAAAATCATGGGACAAACTTAGAGGGGTGGTAGAGCACATCTTAAGGAGAAAGAATTTCACAGTATCCCCATGACCAAAAATGTCATCTTATATCATTAGGGTTCCTTCCCTATAATGAATTGTTTTTATGTATGCCATTGAACAGGTACTTTTATTACATAAATTATCTTACTTTTATATTTCTTAATAATTATTGTAAAAAATTGCATTTAAATTGTAATTTAATGAATCGGTAACCGATTTGACAAAGACACCAAATTATATTACAATAGAATAGCTATATCTGTTTTCAACAAACTATTACAAGACATTAAATTAAGACGAAATTCAGATATTGTAAATTTAAAAAAAAAAACCTGTTCAAAGGTTATACAAACACATATTTCATAAAAGCACCCTTAGCGATGTACTGTTACATTTTTTGGTTGTGGATTCATATGCAACTCTTAATCCTCCTGACCTCCCCTCCTGAAATATTTATAAGTAAATTAAAGTTTTTTTTCCTTAAATGTAAAAGATTGATTACTCACAACATGTGATGTAACCTTGAAATGATTCTTAGTCAACAAAGACGTCTTCTTGTAAATGCTAGTGAAATTAGACCACTCCTGCTGATTTTCAAGAGACTGAGAAATTTCCATACCTATTTTCCCCACATATGACAGACGTTTTAAATCTCCAGCACATCTTTTCAACACATTCTGAAATTATTGATAGCACAAATAGTATAAAACATAGATAGTAAGAGCTTAATATACTGATAACAAGAAGTCTGCTAATTGCAACAAATTTCCAAGACAACATCAAAATGCTATTAAAGATAAAACATTTGCATGCTTATCACAAGTTAAAAATTACTAGCCTTCTGCAAGCATGACATAAACATTTTTGGGGAAAAGTACATTTTTCTGCTGTTTAAGTGAACAATATTCTTCAAGAATATTGTTCACTTCTTCAATGCTTCAAATGAAAAAATATTCAAAAGGAAGATGCTTTTATTTATATATGTTGTTGTGTAGTGGCTTATCCTCCAACTGTCTGATGAAGTCAGACAAGATCCTTTAGATTGTTAACCCTCAGAAAATTGAGAACCAGAAGGGGAGAAACATATAATTCTTCCCTCTTTTCCTTAGAAAGACCCAAGCAGTCCAGTATGTGTTCTGAAAAGGCCTGGTAAGCTTGACATTTAGAGCAGATCCTCCTGCCCTCAGAAAACGAGACTCTTCGTGTGTCCACTTGCCAATCTTGAAAATGCCAATCGTGGGTTCAGTTTCTTTTTATTTATTTCTGGTGTCAATGCAAAAAAGATAAAAGCAAACATAGTTTCTATCTTACAATTTTGCAATCTTTTTATAAAGCAAATTAACTCCTTCCTAACAAAGAGAAAAGTTTTTTTTGCTATTTTCATAAATCCTGTCACACACTTCATAAGAAGCCTTCTGTTAACCACATATCTGTAATCCCTTCTTGACAGGCTCTTACCCAATCGTCCTCACTTTGTCAAACTTTTTGAGATGGATTTTAATGCAGACACACTTTCTCCGCATTCAATGACGAAGAAAGTATTTTGTTAAATGTCACACCGTTTAACGTTAATAATTCTATTTTTAAATTATTCAGAAGAATCGAAAAAGTAAGTTTGTTCTGTAAATCTTTTTTTTCTTTTTAAATTTCCTTTTAAATAGTGCATATATTTATATATGTTAATAAATTCAATTATAATTGCTCATATATGAGTTAAAATATTAAAACAGACTTGTAATATCTATATCAATCAAGTTGTCTAATGAATTACAAAGGATCTCACTTATTTTTTAGTTAAAATGAACTTACTATTCTATCAAGCCAAAAATATTCTCATATAACTATTTAGAATAAATTTATTTTTGTTACGCAAATCTACATTGAAAGGTTTATTCCCCTTCTTATTCTTTAATAGATTAGAAATTAATATATATTCAATTTATATGTTTTAAAACTAAAAGAACACATTAAAATAAAAATACTCAATTAAAATCAAAAATATAGAAAACACAAAAATTCTTTAAATCAAAATTTCATTTCGTAATTTTGCAAATTTTAAATATAGCGATATATCGAGATTAATACTCTGAGAAGTCCAATATTACTATGTCTTCAAAACATTAATATTTAAAACACAAAAATTCTTTGTTTATAATGAGTTAAAAAAAATATTAGGATGGCAGTTGAGTAAAATGCATTTTTCTGTTATTAAAATTAACAAACTTATAAGAAAGACGACAAAGCTATTATTTATTTACTTATTTAAGGTAAAATGTAAATTGTATTTATTTATTTAGCAAGAATTTTGTATGAAATGAACAAAAATAATCTCATATAATCATTTAGAATAAATTTATTTTTGTTTTGTAAATGTACATGGCAAGGTTTATTCTCCTTCCCCTTCTTATTCATGAGTAGATTGACAATTAATACACTCAGCACAATATTATAACTTTTTTTATTTTAATTATTTTTCTTAACGTGATTTAAAGTGTAGTTTCCAAAAAAAACAACTTTGCATGTGAAAAATTTTGATGAAAGAAAATGCAAAATAAATATATAACATATTAAAAACAATTCTTGAAAAGGTTAAATTGATATAGAATAAATTTTATTTATCTCACAATTTACAATGTAGCAATAATTCACGATCAAAAACAGCCAGACTTTATAACCCGTGCATAAGTCAACCTCCTGATTATTGTAAAATTTTGGGAGTTTGAAAAGTTGGCTTATCCACTGGAATAAATGGTATATATGTACATGTTTTTGTTGAAAGCATAATTACATAATATATGGCATAAAAATCAAGTGTAATGAATACTTACTTTTAAAGAAGTCATCTGAATAGCTTTAGGTAAAGCTTTAAACAAATCCAAAGCAAAGTGTAGATCAACTCGCCTTTGACTCAAAGCATTTTGAATGACGTCTAATATAATAGACACAACACGAGAACAAAGTGATGGAGAACAATTAAAATCCTGAAATAACAATTTTAACATTTCAAAAAAATTAAATTACTAGTAGATCAAAAGCGAAAACATAAACTTAAAAGTTTAGCTGCATATATAAATAAAATTTATTTACTTTAAATTTAGAAATTACTTATACATATGATGAAGATTCTTTTCAATGAAGTGAATGAAAAATTAGTTTTAAACATATAATCAATATGCTCTAATCATTTATAATTTTTAATAGCTTACAGACAATTCTTCCCATTTAAAATGACAAACAAAAATCCTCATAGAAGCCATGATAATAGTGATTCATTTTACAAACTACATTTTGTAAGTATGTACAAGCTTAACAAGTCTATTTCTTAGGTTGCAGATACAATTTATTGATACTGTAAGAAATTTAAAATCTTAAAAATGATTTGAATTTCACATTTATATAAGGTACATATATTAGTCAATTTGCTTTTTTGTGGTCTTTTATTTATAACCAAGTAAGGATTTTTCTAAAAAATAATACTTCTAATAATATAGATGTATTGAAGGTTAATTAAATGTATAGAACATTAAAAATGATTAGAAGAAAATAATCTGTTTTAAAATTGATAGAATTATTAACATTTAAAAAATACTTTTACCCCCACAGAATCAGGCACTACATATTAGTCTTATTTATTATTAGATATATCAAATTACATTGAAAATTATGGGGTAATTCCCTTTATAGCAATTACTATAATTTAGCATTATTTGAAAATTGAACCTAGCATTAATATACAAGAAGTGCAGCAGATGTTGTTTATAAAAAAATACAGGGCTAAAAAAGACAATTAACCAGGATGAGAGGCGTGGTGGCCCGGGGGATAGAGAGTCACTGAGCTTTCAAATTAGGTGAATTGGGTTCGAATCCCAATGATGACTGGTTAATACAAATTCTACATCCATAAGGAGGCAGCTGTAAAATATCCTCAGTGGTAAACAGATCATGGGTTAGAGTCCTCTTGCCATCAGGTTAAACGCGGGTGGGTTTCCTGCCCCTGTAACTCAAATGCAAGATAAGTTTCTTCCAAAAGTCCTCCCTCCACAAAGGCAAATTTCTCTCAATACTTAATCTAGGATTCCCTTGTCTTCTGGATTGGGTTCAAAATTACAATCCTATGGAATTGAACACTAGTAGTCATAAACACCAATGATTAATTTGCATTCCACAAATATTTCAACTAATACAACCATAAGATTTCCTTGCTTCTTAGAATCTCACATTTTTTTAGACTGATACATTTTTGAAATCAAAATATTAAATCGTCTGATATTGATTTGGGGAGAAAAAAAAGTTTAAACAAAAAATTTACACGTATTTTAATTTTTTTTTCTTTTCAAATATTTTTACAGTTGATTTTGTGGCATTTAATAATAATATTTAAACTATTATTTCAAAATCATGAGTTGAGATTAATAGGTTAATATCGTAAATATTAGGAAAAAAAATAAAAGTAATGTGTTCTGCTTCAACTAACACAAACTGTTTCGTTTGCTTTATTAAAAAAAGTAACATACTTACAGAAAAACTTTTAAATAATTCCAGCTGAATAAATAATATTAGTGTTCTCAGTGCACCTATTGCTTGACCATTTTCTTCCATTTGAAGCTCCAAATTTCGCAATACATCGAAAAAATTTTGTTCAATAGCAGCAGAATCATCTGAAATGATAGTTTTTTTAAATAATATTTTTATGACAAAATTAAAAACACATTTTTTAAACTTGTTTCAATGAGGAATGAATAGATATTCCGCACAGCTTATTAGAGCTGGCCATATGTTGAAGTATATGTTGGCTTTTATTGTTATTTTATTCATTTTCCCGTTGAGAGTCAATTATTGTAGACATCAATTAGGTATCAATTTAAAATTAAGTGATAATTTTGTTAATTTTTCAGAATTTATGATCGACAAATAATGAATTTCCTGGACATCTAATGCTTGAAAGGAAAAAATAATAATTTTTAAAACATTCTTATGGTAAGCTATCAAAATAATTAAATTTTCCAAATCTAAGCATTTTTCACGACACTGTAGTAAAAAAACTGCATTTGACTAAGGATAAATGGAGTTCATGTTACTTTTAATGTTACTCTATATTACCCATACTTTCATAAATTAATGTTTGGAATTACCAAATGTGCATAGCATGCTGCATCATAAAAAATCTGATTTTTGAAAAATGTTTGAGTGATTTTATTCAAACTTAAAGTAATCCAGTGCAGGTTATGGTATGATAAACATAGAATATTTAGCATAAATGATTAAAAGGAAAAAGATAAAGCTTTTACTTACCATGAAAATAACTGGACATCACAGATTTAACAAATTTAGTAATTATCTCAGACTGTAAATTAAATCCTTCATCTTGATAAAGAGGGTAAAATTTCCACTTATGATATGAGTCTGATATAAAGCATGATGAGTCCAAAGATTTTTCACCGATAATATCACGTATTGCAAAGAGATAACTGGTTAGTTTAACAAAAGGTAAAAACTTTTGCATTTTATCTATAAAAACAGACATCAAGTATTACTAAATGAACAAAATTGGACACTAACAAAACAAAATTAAAAGAGATTCCATAAATAAAATCACTGCCAAATAAATTTAGATCAAAATTATCATCAAGCAGCATTTTCCATAATTTAACCGTCATCAATAACTGAGTAAATGAATCATATATAATTTTTGGTCTCCCTGTAGATCGCTTAGCAGTTCAACTAACAAAAATAATACTTCTTTATAGGATAAAGGTTGGAGCCAATTATTGACAAAGCAAAACAGCTACAAACACTCATGGCTTATAAGGGGGGGGAAACGGTATTCATTCTAAATTATTTAAAAACAATAAAGGTGTATGCTTGCACTACACTATTACAATTTAAAGCAGAGGACAGATTGTGGTATTTATTAACCCACATCTGCACCACAACTGAATGTGAACTTTTCCCTTTCTGGAACAATTAGTGACAAATGAAATAAAAAATTATTCATTTGATGCAAAATTAGATTTTTTTGATTTATCTCATATTGAAATGCTTTAAAAATATTAAAATTAACAATTTTGTTTAAAAAAAAACATCTGATTCAAATAAATACTTCTAAAAAAACCAATTGATTTAAATCATGATTAAAATCTACAAATTTAGTGGATGAAATAGTGTATTACAAATCACTAAGACACTATTAGTGAAAGCGCAATTCAATCAGGCATCCAACCTTACACGATTCAACAAAGTCCAGCCCAAGCTATGGTGTGCCAAAATTAAACCCATCAAACCCACTTAGCAGCAACATTAGAAAGTAGGATCATTTACAGCATTGTTTCTCAACGGGGGCGATACTCCCACTTTTACATGCCTTCCTTTCCCTGTCGAACGTGGATTTAGTGCTGTTACGAATCTTGTCACACAAAAAAGAGAAATCAACTCGAAATCGTGCAACAAGGGGACTTGCGTCTTCACCTCACTAAAAAAATTGAATTAAACGATAAGAGACTAATGTTTTGTTGATACCACTTTTTAGCGTAAAATTTTTTTGGGGTGTTTCTTTAATTATCTAATTAAGAATAAATGATTCTTTTTAAGCATAGGTTTCTTCTTCTTGTATTTTTTTCATTACCGTATTTATTGTAATTATAACAAATAGGCAGCAATTACTAGCTATGAGAAAAGTATCGATAAATTTACACATTATTTTTTTAAAAAATCTAACAAATTTAACTCTTGAAAAATTGCTTAATATTGTCTCTTATAATTCAGCACACCTCGCTCCATCACCATGCTCTAAATAACTGTATTTTCACAAAGGGGGGCGTTGAAGTGTTTTTTGCTCTTTAAGGGGGCAGCATCGTTAAAAAGGTTGAGAATCTATGATTTACAGCTTACATCTGCAGTTAATGACTAACTTTTCAACATATTTTTAAAAGAAAGAAAAGAAAATAGTTGATAGCATAAAAATTTTTTTCATTCTTAAAAACATCACAACACCAAGACAAAAATATAATGCATAAAAAATCTAATGAAAACAGTTTTCAATCTTATGCACAAATTTCCCATAATAAAACTTGGAGAAAACCAATTTTTTTAATGCAGAAAAGTCACCAGCTAAAATGAAATTTAAAAAAATATTGGGGATAAAATTCAGAAGGTTAATAAAAAAAAAATAGATTAGTTACATAGTTACAGTGAAAATACTTAGAATTGACACATAACTTTAAACTAGCAAGTGTTACGAAAATAATTTCATTTACATTTATGTAATATTATAACGAAAATAATTTCATTTGTTCTTTAAAATTATTCATTTTCAAGAACATATTTGAATAACATAAACAGAGAAAAAAAAATCATAGTAAAATAAATTTTTTTAATACCTTCATTACAATAAGCAATAGCTAGACTACTTAAGTGATGGATAGTATCAATCATGATGCTAAAGCTAAAATCTTTAATGTTATCAAAATTATGATAAAAATGTGCAACAACTTGCATTATAGCTGCAGCTGTTTCTTCTGATGGTTGAGTGGCAATTGATTCTCTATTAAAAAGAAATCATAAAATAAAAATTAAAAGAATGAATAATAAATTCAAATCAGATAAAAAATAAAAATTTCCTAAAATGAAAAATAAAAGTAAAAATCATAGAATGAATATCCAAGATAAACTTCTTTAAATTCAAGATAAACTCTTTTTTTAAAATTTATAATATGGCAAGGAACAAGATTATAATAAAGGAAGAAAAAATTATATATTGCAAAGCCCTGTGAAGACTTGTAAAATGAATTCTTCACCAAACTCTATTAACTTTAAAAACATAATGGAGTAGCATTATCTTTATTCTAGTAAAAAAATATTGCAAAAACAATAATAAAATAAAAAATTACAAAGCTCAAATAAACAAAGTTCGAACATGGAACCCCTTGTTATAGTACCAAAATGTTTCTCTCTAACTTATTTATATGATTTATACATTGTTTAAGTTATTTCAAATGAATCATTTAACTATTTTCTTCAACAAAGGTTTTTGCAAAATTAGGAAATGTGGTATAAATTAAAATGTTTAATTTGTGTGTACTTCAACAGCATTTTGGCTCATGAATGATACAAGCTAAATACATCTACCTAACAATTTACACATTATATCATAAGATTGTATATATCAGCAGTAGAATATCTTCATCATATCTGTAAAATATTCATAATTTTTATCCTTAATTATCCATAATTTTTCCATATGCATAAATTTTTTATTGGTTGGTGTCGTATCCTCAACTGAATCATATCTCATAGTGTGCTTGAATAGACTTTGCTATTTCTATGGCATTAAATGAATATAAATCTTCTTCCGTAGGGTAGTTTAGGAGGTGAAAGCCTGCAACAACTGTAGGGCAGTTAAAAACATGATATGGTGTGAGTTCCACATTAAGACTGTTGCCACAGTTTTGATATTATCTAGTCCCATCTGCAGAGATTTTCATGTTTTTATGATGTTTTGTTCTTAGTCTGATGAGAGTAGTGGCTGTCTTCCAGTCGATGTCAAGATTAGTTATTTGATCCTAGGCCTTGATTTTTAAGAGGGGAATAGTCTTGACTTTGCAAAAGCATTTGCATCTGCCAGCGTATTCGGGATTGTATTTTGATTGAGATCTCTGGCATTTTTAGCCAAGGAATCAGCTATTTCATTGAACTCAAGGTTCACATGGGCGGGAATCCACTGCAAGAAGCATTTCTTCTGGAGATGAAGTTGTCCAAGTTGTTCCATTATATTCAAGATTAGGCATGAGGTACCTTTGCTGAGAGCCTGTAAGGCAGACCTGGAGTCGCTGAAGATGGTGATACCACTAAGCTGCTCTGAAGGTTCAAGATTGATGAATTTCAAGATATTTACACATAATATAAAATATTATTCATATGCATGAAAGATATATTCAAAATGATGGGGGAAAAAATCTAAATTTTGTCATTTGCAAACTACATATTTTATAACTGGCATAAAATATAAGAACATAAAAAATTTTGTCGTTAATAACTTGATTAACTAGGAAAAATACTTGGTGCACTATCAGGCCAAAAAATATCTGTTTCTCAGGTTTGTAAAAATATTATAAAAACAAAATATTCATTTCACAAAGCTTTTAGGACAATTTTTGAATACACGAAGTGTATCAGTCGAAAGCATTTTTCTACTCATGTGATATTGTAATAACAGTAACATTTTCATAGGAATAAGGAAACATTGCTGATATGCAGACAGTTGCTCAATGATACTTCAATGTTATGTACTTAACTACTTGATGGGCTACTTAGTATGAATCATTGAAAATAAATGCAATTCTAATTTGTAAAAATACAAAATGCATTTAGATATAAATGAAATTTTTAATTTAAATCTAATTAAAGTTTAACTTACTGTTGAAGCTTCAAAACAAAATCGTATTTATGCCGTTGAAGGCCATGAGTGATCAGTAAACCCACAACCTTCTCTCGGTGAATTTGAAGAATATCTCCAAGCCTAAATTTATATAAAAAGTCACATATTAATTCTGCCATTTAAAAAAATAATAACGCTAAAACTTAAGATATTAAGTAGCAAGATTTTTAACAAGACATACACTGTTGTGTATGTCTGTTATACTTCTGTCAAATCTTGAATCTCAAATTTAAGAAAAGTGAGAAATAGGTAGTTTGAATTTAAAATTTAAAACCTCAGCTATTTTACATTCTTTTTCAAAATCATTTATAATGCAAAACCATCATTTAATAAAATTAATCGGTTTAATATTTTGTTTTAGAATGAAAGAGTATTTTGATTTGTTGAAAAAATTTATTGAAATTGCAATAATATTTCCTAAATTTAGTTTTTCTTTTGACGTATTTTAATGTTAAATGACATTTGACAATGACTCAATTCATTGTTTTTATATGTATGCTATTAAAGAGAACATGCATTTCTCTCCATGCATGCTTAGCTGGGTAAATACTGTGCAATCTTTGTTCTGCAAGAAATTTAATTTTAATCAATAAAAAAATGACAAGCAGAAAAAAGCAGAAGCCTAATGGAAGGTGATTATTCTTCCCACAGTATGCGATTTTGGATGAATAAATACAAAGTAAATTAACAACACTATAACATTTAATATCTACAGTTATTTACAAATTAATATATAGTTATAAGCAGTGTAAATTAATATACAGTTATTAAGTACATTATTAATGAAGGAAAATATTTACATCCATTATTTCTTAAATATCCAAACATATAGAATGTCAGGATTGTAATTAAAGTTACATTGTCCCAGCAACGTGCTGTCTATATTAAGCAAAATGAAACCTTTACGTGTGATTTTACTGACCTTGCACACTACAAGGTAAGTGCAAAACCTCTCTATTGAATATGTAATCCTTTTTATCTACTGACAATGCCTCAAAGGTTTTAACTTAAAAGAGGAATGAGATTAAATTTAAAAAAATATTGCAATTCATTTTAGGAAATTTTTCCTTTGATACACAATTGCTATATTCAGATTTGCATTAATGAGGTTTGATTGTGACTGCATTAAAGCGGATACTTTATTAATCAGTAGAAAAAAATACAAAAATTTTAAAAAATTTACATAAAAAATTCATAAGTTATAAATTTCCTCACTATTTACTATCAATGAAAAAGAATACTATAAAAGATATGTAAGGGAAAATTTTATAGTACAATTTTGCACAAAACATTTATTTTCTAATTCATCTTAAGGGTTTTTAGTTGATTAATCATTTGGTTTATTAATACTTAGGTATTAATCAATTTGTTCAAGTGACGGAATCGCAACTGTTCCATTTGTTACAATTTTGCGCAAAGTTTTTATTTTTTTATTATGTATTTTGATAACTTATTCTAATTATATTTAGCAGTTTTATCATTTGATTAATTCATTGTATAACTAATCGTACTATAATTGGCATAATTAAAATTTATTGACGAGATGCATTTCTGATTGTTTTGTGCGTGAATTGCATAAAATTGTACATGGTATTATTTCATGCTATTTTAACTATTTAAATTTTTTTTACTGTTTAATCAGTTATTTTATTTAAAAATAATTATTTCTAACAAATGTATTAAGTTTACTATCACTCACTATTTACTATCAATGGAAAGTTTTAAAAAATCACAAAGAAAATTCATAAATTATAAATTTCACACAAAACTTACACAAAATTGTGTGTAATATATTAATCAATGTTTTTAAAACACTAAATAACTCAGTGGTGATTGCATCACGAAGTGAAAAACCCAGAAAATTTTATGAGCAAAAAATTTATATGGAGAAATTTATTTACCTCCCACGCGTTTCATATTTAAAAAATTTTTTTTAAATATTTATAATTAAATTGCCTGATAATGAAGAATATCACACCTTTATAGTCTTTTAAATCTTAGTTCTTACAAAAATTGCGACGTTGGATTTTTAAAATCACATGAGTATGAATCGTGATATTGGATTTTAAAATCGCTTGAATATGAATTGCTACATTGGATTTCGGATTTTTAAATCACGTAAATAAGAATCACGATGTACAATTTTTAAACCACGTGAATACGAATCGCAACATGTAACTTTTAAGTTAGGTGAATAAGAAAATCGATGTTTGATATTTTAACCGCGTAAATAGGAATCATGATAGTAGCCGATTACAGCGCAGTTCCAAATATTCAAAATGGTGAAATCTGCCAAACCAAAAGAATCAGTGGGAGGAAGAATCACGGGTATGTCAGCGTCTTGTTAGCGAGAATTAGCAAAAGCATCAAAATTTGAATTTTAGATAGAGGAACTCAGCGAAAATCTCAACAGGTAATAATTTTCTGATTAGCGAAAGTCCCAAAAACCAGTGGTCTAGTGAAATGACGAATTCCAAGATATTCCCAAAAAACTCATATGCTTACTCCCAATTTTTAAACCCTGAATTACAATCACCCCTGATAATTATAATGTATACTTAATTACCTATATATTTTGCAAAGGTTAGATGGCAGGTTAGAAACTGTTGAAGCCTGCTTCTTGCTAGAATCCACTACCTAAAACATACATGAAATTAAAAAACAAGATAATAAAAATATATACAGTTTGTCTGGACAAATAAAAAATGGGATGTAGAGTAACAGGCCTCCTCGTACCTCCTGGATAACGCTAAATCTGTCACAGCCCTCGTCTTTATCTTGCAGTCTTTTCCTACAATGAAGGCATCTCCAATAAATTTTCGATGGAGAAATGCTCGCAATATACCTGGCTCTCCAAAAGATATTAGAAAGACTTGAAAATAGATTTGTCCTCCTCATCGACTGCCAGGCTGCAATTCACACTGTTTCAAAATATGTTCAACTCCCTACAGCCATTGAATTCAATTGCAAAAACATTGTAAATGCTCTTCTGTTTAGTGGAAAGGAGATAACTCTCCAATGGATCCCCAGACTTTGTGGGTTATGGGGTAATGAAAAGGCTGATAACCTTGCCAAAGAGGCATTTCTATTGGAGCCCCCTGTGTCGCCCACAAATCTGAGAAATGTTAATTAAATTGTGAAACTAAAGCTTTGAAGTCTCTGGGTTTCTTCCATTACAGAGCAAGTTTCTGGAAAACCTTAGGAGAGCCTTCTGGCATCTTGTCTTCCAAAAAATCTCCGTAGAGCTATCGGTGTTTCAAATTTCCAATTGTTGACGGAGCACGATTACTTATAGGCGTACTTGCACCGTGTTGGTCTTTCTGACTCTCCTAACTGTACTAGTACTCTATGTGCAAAAAGGGCCCCATATGAATGGTGGGCATCTATGGAACTGCTCTGTACTTCAGAAGGCCCGTAATTCTTCTAGTTTCAAGACACTCTCCGCCCCTGGAGATATTTCTTTGTTATATTAGACTGCAAGACTTCTCATGCTCGAGAGAGCAAATGATGGACGTAATTAAAAAAAAAAAAACAAGTAAAAATAATGAAGTCATCTTTAGATTTTACTCTTCAAATTTATAAAGATATTAATATTTATAAAGAAAGTATAGATCAAGAGAAAAAGAGTAAAATATATAGCGTATTAGTTTATTCTTAAGTCACAAATCCTAATTTGTAACCTAATTTGCAGATGACGTCTTACGGTTTTTCATCAATCAAAAATTTTTTTTACCACCGCATATTTTAATTTTAAAAAATAAAGAAAGAAAGAAAAGGTTTTCAGAGAAAAACATTATGAAATAGATATGTAATTTTGAAAACTTTCCTGCAAAAATCTGGTTTTGAAAAAATACACTGTAATTGCAAAATTATCACGCATGGATTGGGGGAAATGAATTCTTCATATGGGCCGCTTCAGCACATAGGCCGCACAGCATGACAATCAAACTTTTAAACAGACTGGCTGCAACCTATCAACCAGAAATTTCTGTAAATAAAAAAAGTGTCTTATTATGGATGTTTTTGTGCCATTGCTCTTTAGGGTTGTTCAATAAGGTAAGTGCAGAACTTTTTTAATTGTTAATTTTGGACAGCAGTTTTATGCATAGCACACAGATTTAAAAAATAAATATTTTGTCTTATAAAAATCGTTAAATGGAGGTCTGACTGTGATGCAGTCTAACTCATTAATAATAAGACCATAATGGTTGAGCCAATTCATCTGCTTAATCAGGGAACTCTGGTTACAATGAGTCAGCAAAACTTGTGTACAAAAAGTGAACTATTAGAGAATGTCATACTAGCAATGTAAAAATAAGAATTGTAATACTTTAATGAAATAGATCACTGAAGGTTTTTTTTTTCTTTTTGCTTTCTAGGACTGATAAAACGATGGAGGAAAGTAAGATATACTTTCTACAAATACTGAAAATGTTTAATATTTTATAAAACAGAAAAATTTTCATTATTTTGGTTTGGAACATTAAGACAGACGAGGGGAAAAAAAACATTTCCGTGCAATTTTTCGAAAATTATATAATTAAATTTAAGTTATGTTGGCATGAACTGGGTAGCAAAATTTTTTTTTAACATTGAACAAACCATTTCTAATATTTAAGATTTCTCTGCTGTTTCTGGGACCTCATTAAATTAAAGATCTGAATAAGCAAGTTTGATTTTACGCATGTTAAGCATACATAACAAAACAGGAAATTTAAATACATTCAAATCTAAAAATTATACAGGTTCACATATTTTAAAATAACATGGAAAATTCATAAGAGAAATAATTTTCATTTTAACAAAAATGTGAAAAGCAAACCATTAAAAAGGACAATAGCATAAATTTAAAAAACAAACAAGATAAGTAAAACAAAACCAGCTTTAAATTTAAAAATTATGTGTTTATTAACAAAATAAAAATAATACTTACAAATACCAAGCTTTTTTTATTATCCAGCAAATTTTTAATAGCATCCTCTACGAGAGCTTGGCAATAAGATACTGAGAGAACTTCAGAAAGTGTTACATACATATTGAATTCAACCTGAGTAAATAAAATATGAATAATCACAAAAATCATATAAATAAAAATAACTCATATCTAAGACTGCAGACAAATTTTTCATAAACTATTAAGAAAAATAGAAGGGGTCACCAAAAAAAAATAAGAATGATAGAAAGAAAAAACACTTTAAATAAGTAACTTAACCTACATCACGAGTTTTTAAAATATACAAAATATTCACTTGTTAAGTGATCAGCTTTACTATTCTATCTAATGCTAACATTTAATGGCCATGTTTAAATGGGAAATTAAAAAGTTTCAAAGTAAATTGAAACTATTTGTTTCAAAAAATAAACCTTAATTTCACTTTTTAAACACCTAAAAAGCAAATACTTCAATACATAGTAATGGTTGATAACTTTTTATTCTGTTAAAAAATAAAAGCATACTTACATTAAGTTTCATCAAGCATCTAAGAGCAATAAGTAATTCATCATCATAAGGCTTTTCCATTTTTTTCAAATACTCAATGACATATATGCCAGCATAGGTCACATTTTTAAATAAATCCCTGTTATTCTAAAACAATAGATAAAAATTACTCAATAGAGCAAAACTTTAAGCAAATGCATAGTTAAAATAAGTAATTTTACATTAGAAATTAATAAAGTAAAAAACTCTTAATTTAAAAAAGTAATTGCAATAAAATTAATTTCAATAAACCAGACCGGAATCATTTCAAGACATGGAAAATGGGCTCTAAAATCACCAAAGTAGGCTTTTGAAATATTTAAACAGTTATCAACAAACAAAATACTTGTAAAATACAAAATAAAAAAACAAATAATAAATAAATTAAAAAAAACAGCAATTTCTTATGCTGCTCAAGTTCTAGTAAATTTTGAATCTTAAAAATAATAAATATGTAGAAAGAACATGATCAGTATTTTCAAATATAATTTCATTTTTATACATATAAAGGTTGTATAAACTTTACTACAATATAGGAATAAATTGAAAGCTTATTTCGATTTAATAACGATTGAAAACGAACTCAATGTTTAAGTTCATCTGATAAAAATACAATGACTTAAAATTGTAAATAATAGAAAGAAAAAAAAAGTATGTTTTAAATTGCTGTTGGGAGGCTATTTTCAATACTTTGATTAATTAACAATCAAAATCTGTCCTATCTTCAGTCATGCAAGAGGAACTTCTCACCCTAAGTTTGAGAATAGGTTGAGGTCGTTTCAACCCAAAGGCCTCCAATCATTCGATTTCCCGGATGAGACCGATTACTCCGAGCGTACGTACGTATATATAATTTCTTTCTTATAAAACAAATTCTAAAGTCTTTTGCTAGTACAATGTAGTTATGAAATGCAATTTTCAGATCTAAGTAACGACTATTTTTTAACGATATTTTCAAAAATCACTTTTTGATGCTCTTAATTTCATTCCTCTCATTAACTCTCCTTTCATAACTCTCCCTTGTTTTACAATTGTTTCTTCAGGATATTCTACTTGAGTTTTCAAAGTCCTATATTATGATATTATTTCAGCAGATGTATTTTGAATTTCAGGTTTTACTTCTATATTTGCTCTAATTGCAACAATTTTATTCCAAATACACATTCTTCATTGATGATTTTTCGTGGAGTTTTCCAATTAAGATATTCTTATTATGTAAATATGATAAGAATTTTGTATTTTAGTAATTACTTTTAGATATGAATGTTTCAACAAAAGGGAAATCCTCCTAACTTGTTCGCCAGATAAGCAAGCTAATCCATATTTAGCTTTAGAAAAAAAATACAAATTGCTAGCTGTTCTGAAGCAATAAAATTAATTATTTTGCTGAATTTGAAGGGTGCAATTTTAGGAAAAATTGTTTTGGGGAACAACTTGGCTGAATTTGTACAACTGTTCCAAATTTGTAATTATATCTTTCTTTCTTACTAACATTTGACATGTAACAGTGGGGACAAAACTTTTATTTTTATAACCATTTTCAACTTACCACTGACAAGAAATTATCCTCCAAAGTCAGTTTTACATATCTCAACAATCTAGAAGATATTTCAGCAACTGTATTGGTTTCAAGGTTTTCAAAGACATCAAGCATAGCATCCAACTGTTTTGAAAATAAATAAGAAAAAATGCAATATTACATACTAAAGAATTGCAGATAAAAAGGCAATAACATTGTACATGATCAATAGAAAGACACNTCGATCCGAAGGCCTCTAATCATTCGATTTCCCGGATGAGACCGATTACTCCGAGTGTACGTACGTATATATAATTTCTTTTTTATAAAATAAATTCTAAAGTCTTTTGCTAGTACAATGTAGTTATGAAATGCAATTTTCAGATCTAAGTAACGACTATTTTTTTAAGATATTTTCAAAAATGACTTTTTGATGCTCTTAATTTCATTATAACTCTCCCTTGTTTTACAATTGTTTCTTCAGGATATTCTACTTGAGTTTTCAAAGTCCTATATTATGATATTACAGCAGATGTATTTTGAATTTCAGGTATTACTTCTATATTTGCTCTAATTGCAACAATTTTATTCCAAATACACATTCTTCATTGATCATTTTTCATGGAGTTCTCCAATTAAGATATTCTTATTATGTAAATATGATAAGACTTTTGTATTCTAGTAATTACTTTTAGATATGAATGTTTCAACAAAAGGGAAATCCTCCTAACTTGTTCGCCAGATAAGCAAGCTAATCCATATTTAGCTTTCGGAAAAAAATAAAAATTGCTAGCTGTTCTGAAGCAATAAAATTGATTATTTTGCTGAATTTGGAGGGTGCAATTTTAGGGAAAATTGTTTTGGGGAACAACTTGGCTAAATTTGTACAACTGTTCCTAATTTGTAATTATACATTTCTTTCTTACTTACTTTTGACATAGGGGAAAAAACATTTTAACAGAGGGGAAAAAACATTTTTATTTTTATAACCATTTTCAACTTACCACTGACAAGAAATTATCCTCCAAAGTGAGTTTTACATATCTCAACAATCTAGAAGATATTTCGGCAACTGTATTGGTTTCAAGGTTTTCAAAGACATCAAGCATAGCATCCAACTGTTTTGAAAATAAATAAGAAAAAATGCAATATTACATACTAAAGAATTGCAGATAAAAAGGCAATAACATTGTACATGATCAATAGAGAAATAAAATAACATTCCTAAAAATATGATTGATTTAATGTTCAAAAAATTTGTATTCAATTAATTCAAAATACTGTGTCTCTTTTTTTCTACATATAAAATTGGACTTTTAAAAATTTATGTTTAACTATTTTCATAAAGTAATGCTTATTAACACTAGTATTTTTACCATCAGTACATTTGAATCATTGTGATAAAATATGAATTCTAATATGATTCTAACTACTTTTATTTTTAAACATGAAGATTATTTCAGATAGTACTTGATACTTTACACTCTCTTACTTATTTAAATTTGCTTCATGATCAGTAAATAAAAATACTAAATGTTGAAACATCAAATTACATAAAACAGAAAAATTATAGTTATCAATATAACCAAAGATTGAAAATGAACAATATAAATACATTAAGGAAACATTCACTAAAAAAAATCTCCCATTGGAGTTTGAATTTTAAAATTTTTAAAAGAATGCAAACTAGATAATTTAATTTGAATAAAAGGCTTTTTTTATAATCTCTTAAATGACTTTCAAATAAAAAATTAAATTTACCACTATGGGCATAAATCTATTAAGTTGTCATATTTCATTGAACCAATTTCAAAAACATATTTTTTATTTCTTAAATGCTAAACCTAACTCATGAAACTGCTTTTCTTTTATCTTATATTAACTCCTCCAAAAACAAATAATTCATAAACCAGATGCCCAGTGCACAGTGACCAACTCCATTTTAATTTCCCCTAACACACATGTGTTATTATCTTTACGATTCAAAACTGCTAAATTGATACCATTCATAAATTGATGTCATAAATCAGGTTAATATTTTTTCATAGAGTAAATTTTATGTGAAACTAACTCATGTTTATTTTACATATTCAATTTTGATTCTTAACATTTTACCAGAGCTACACAAATTACAGTACATTGAGAAAGAAATTAAAACTCCTTAACACTATCTTCATAATTTACATAATTATCTGACTTAAAGCAAACTAAATACCTACAGTTTAACTGCAGTATACAGCAAACTGAAGAGTTTAATAAATCATAGATGATAATACTTAAGTATCTTCAAGAACATTAAAAATATTTTTAAAATATAAAGGCATTAACCTTTTAATAACAATAAAAAAATATGAGTATTATACCTTATTTTGATTCAAAGCAAACTGAATGTAACTGTAGTATACATCGAACTGAAGACTTTGATCAAATATAGATAATATTACTTTTTTGGCATCTTCAATAGCTGATGGTCTGTTTTGTTTGAATATAAAATTTACTAAAAGCTAAAAAAAATTGAATAAAAATTATTATAGCTAAAAACATAATGTTAACATTTAAAAGAGAAAAAAGATCACTAACACAGCAAATGTAAAAAACAAAACAAAAAAGTAATAAATACTAAATTCAGGGTTTAATGCCCGGAAGTCCCATAAGATATTCAGTGCTAAATTAAAGGCATTCCAATGTTCAATAAATTTTCTGTGAGTTCAGAGTAAATTTTACTTTTTCTTATTTATTTTTTTTTTATCTGTAAGGTTGAACAGAGAATGAAATATTTCATGTTTAACATACAGTATTTAACATGCGTTGATTGCTTGTGAAAGTCTGAAGATAAAAATTATTTGAGTTTTCATACATATAAGTAAATATTGCCTTCTGCTCTTTTCTCTTTTTTTTTAAATCTTATTTGCTAAAATTATAGTTTCACTGTAAAATATAATTTAAAATTTTCATTACATTTTGATATTCTCAAATCTAAATTAAATCATATTTTATGGTGAGCTGAAGACAGATTCTAGATTCTCCTTATGTTTCAAATTAACATTGCATTTATTTAAGAATATAAATAATTAGAAAATAATTAAGGAACGCTACTTACTTTTATCGTATTTGGGTCATTTTCCTTGGAAAAGTTTTTTAGGCCATATTTTGCCAAAATTTCTTTTAAACCCACTAATTTAGCCTCCACTTCAAACTCTTTAACTCTGACAGGAGAGAAATAAATATATATATTATGTATATATAGTAATTTTCAATGTTGAAATACGTACATACATACAGTGTGCCCCAACTAAAACAAAGCTATCTTGATTTTTGCCCTTAACTAAATGTAAAATAACCAAACATATATATTGTGGAAATCCACAATAAAAAAAAACATTGAATTGAACCATGGAAAGAGCAGGTCACTCATTATATGCACCTATTATCCAAAAACCACCACTTTGAAGATTTTGCAGGGTAAATTAAAGCATTCACTTGCTGGAAAATCAGACTTGGATCAACAATTCTTGGCTCAACTGCTAGTAAATGAGCTTCAAGCATTTTTTCGGTAATCGATAGCCTCCATGCGCCCTTTTCCTTAGGCTTACCACCATGTTAAGTTTAGCATCATAGCCGCAGCCCTTTCGCAGCATTTCTAATTCTCCACTATTTCCTTTCATATAACATACAAGAAATTCATGATATCAGAAATATTAGCAGTAGCGCGTACTGAAAGCTATCTACAAGCAAAGGTATGTACTTTATTCAGGTTGCATTAGAGCTGTACAATGGGCTATTGGCGATGGTCAGCGAAACATCCATGAGGATGATCTGAAGATATGCCATCACAATTTTAATCCTCTGCAAAGGGGGAGGCTCCCCTGCTTTGGAAACCTCACGACCTGCGCACGAAGTCAAGCACATTACGGTAGAACAGTTTAATGAGGGCCAATACCATGCAACCTCAGTCCCTATGCAAACTGATCAAAGTGATCACTCACCCGCTTACTGACCGCAGACAGTGATGCTTGACCTCGATGCTCTACTGGGAACCATGTCTTTAAGATCAGTCCAGTGCTAGACCCATAAGCAAAAGAAAGTAGAAAATATAAGAATTAAGATGAATTAGACATTTTTGTGTGCTATTATAATTGCGTGAAAAAAAGGATTTTTTCTTCATTGCGTGGAGAGGCTTCAGATGTGTTAGTAAATATAACTTAGCTTTGCCCTCAGACAGTATGAAGGATGCAGATAATTTACATAAAATTCTAGAAATGCATTTATTGAAATTTACAGAGAAAATTAGTGGCCCATGTCTAATTTTTCAACAGAATAATCCCTACAATTACATTGCAACATTTTCACTGTTGATTTTTTCATAAATAGGAGCATGTCATGGCTGTCTTGCCCTTTTACCTGATCTAAATTTCAGAAAAAATAAATAGATAAAAATCTGAGAGATATCCTCAGTAGAACTATATGCACCAAAATGTAGCAGTTTTGGTTTGAGGCAGAATTGAAGGCTGTCATCATTGTAAAATAGTAAATATCAAGCATCAAATTGTAAATATTGATGCTAATGTCTTCCAGGGTTTTAGTACATGGTGTCCAACAACAAATATTTGAAGTTATATGTAAACAAGACAGATAATAACAATAATCAGAGGTGGCTTTATTTTGATATGACACTTTTTTACTCATTCAATATTTTTTCCCTGTCCAGGTAGAGCAGGACTCAGTGTAAATATGTGCTTAGTGTAAATACTCAGTGTAAATATGTGCTTAGACATAGACTTTCTACATAAACAAGTTTGGTTCTCATAAATTTTCGTCGTGTCGAATTGTGACAAAAATTCAAGGTGGCTTTATTTAGTTGGGTTGGGACATATTGTCATAAAAATTAAACTAAAAAAAAATAAATGGTGCCTTGCTAAGACTTTAAAAAAAAAAAAATTTGCATCATTTTGTCTTTGCAATTACAATCATTTATTTAACACTCATATTGCTAAGTTTCAAAGTAGTTCTTAAAAAAAACATTACAACTTTTCTTTGTCATTGTTAGCAAATAAAATGAACATAAATACATGCGTTTGAAATAAACACAAAATAGATTTAGGAGGGATTTTTTTTATTGTAAAAAATCGAAAAACATATATAAAAACAATGAGGAAAAAAAATTTTTAAACTTGGACTTCGTGATATAACAGGGGTAGATGCTTAGTTTGTGATATGCAACAACAAAATACATTTTTTTTTTTAAATATTAAAAAATCTGTTCTAAATAATAATTGTTTGAACAAAATCTGATTAGGTATCATGAATTGTCAAGTATCTGATACATCCCTTGCGTGTATTAATAACATTCTAGAAAGAATATAGCAGAATGTTCCTCAAACATTTCTCAAAAAGTGTTATATGAAAAAAATTTAATATTTTTCATATAATTTTTGCAATAAGAACACAATCAAAATATCAATCAAAAATTTTCTGCAACAGAATTGAGGGAATAGTGCCAGAAAATTTATATCTATTACGAAAACTTACATTTAATTTTTTAGTCGACACAATTATTAACAGCTCCTAAATTTTAACTGTTACCTAAAACTCAAACATAGTCTCAATTTACGTCATATTACAAAATATTTGAATAAAAATTATCACACCTATCATGAACACACTCCAAACCTTGTTGAACTAATTTCTTAACACATTCTGACCATGGGACATCGGCTTTAGAAATAATCAGCAATGCAGAACTCATTCTCCTGTTTGTTGACTGGATGCAATTATTGATTGAAACTAAACGTTCTTCCCATAGTTTTTTTATATGCATCATTCTTGTTGATTGAAAAACAGTCTGAAAAATAAAGATAATGAAAAACTGTGAAGATAAACAAAGTCTGCCAATTACAGTTTATTTTGAAATTAATTTACAGAAATTATTAATTTTTGAATAAAACTAAAAAAAATTAATATATTTCCACAAAATTTTATCGATGTTTCAAAACAAATGAATTAAATATAGCAAAGTTAAGGAAATGTTTGAATTTTGGAGTAAAATATTAATGCAAATGTTTCAGTGAAAATTTCATTTCTTTTTATAGCAGGATAAATTACAGACAGAACTTCATTCTGAAACCTCACAGGCTGTTAACTTACATGCTGAACACATTAAGAAAACTCAATCCAGTTTTCTTTTTTCTTTTTCAAATAGAGCCATCCAAAAAGCATAAGAAAATAATATTGATACTTTTTCACACAAAAAAAAACCTTAGTTCCCTGAAAGCACTACGAATTTGTCTAACTAAAACTACATATAAATATAATGAATTTAAGATTGTTCCATACATGCAAGTATTTGACTGGGGCATGTCAACAAGATTTGATGATTTGTCATCATTAAAAAATTACGAAGAGATTCATACTAGAAAATTAAAATAATACTGATTGATTGGCAAAGAAATTCCCTTGTTAAACATTGTGAAAGATCATCTATATAGCAACAAATATAAGAAAAATGCATAAGTAACATTATAAAACATTTATGACCTATGGTATTCAATAGTAACCTATGGAGAAATAATTTTTATAGAATTTATATAGCAATACACCATAAGAATATGATTTCACAAAGGAAATGCACCATACAAGCATGACAAACTTATGGGAACACATCATACACTTATAGCAATCTTATGGAAACATGCCACATAGTTATGATGCGTTAGGACATTAGACAAGGTAATGGAAACACACCATATAAGGTATGCCATTCACATAGAAGAGGAGATCTGGTCACCAAGGAAAGCAGGAGTGTTTGTTTTTTTCTGGTCCAACAGTTCAGCTTAATTCTATGTTAATAAAAACAATCCTACTTTCAAATAAAGCTTCATAGAAGTTTGTCATTATTTTAAATGAATTTTGAAGGGAAAATTCTATTGCGACTTCCAACAAGGTTGCGTTAAACGTTTAACGCTACTATGGCAACAAGCGGCCTGTGATCCTTGCAGGAGATTTTAATGTGAATTTCTCGTTACCTGAAACATTATTAACCTTCCTTAAAGACAAATTTGGATTGGAAATGATAAATGGTAGGGATGATCCAACAACCAAAGGGGTAACTACCATTGATGCTGTTTTTGCAAGAAATATTAAAAAAATAGAACTCAAACATTTTGTATCTTACTTTAGTTATCATAATCCCATTGTAAATGTTATAGATTTGGATATTTCTCCACTCGAAAATGATAATTAAAAGATGCGATCAATTGTGAATTGTAAGCAATGTTAATAAAGTTTGTCTTAAAGAAACAATATGATTTCACTAAAAATCAATTTCTACCCCTTCCTATTTTCATTTCCACATTACGAAGTTTCACTTCTTC